TAATTCTACGTGTGCTACATTTAGCATATGGGGCTATTTAAATATAGTTTGAAAGAGAGCCAGGTTTCAAGTAGCTTGAGGCTGCTGATGCCTAGAATACTTTTCATTTACTTTGTGTTTTTTCTGTTTTCTGTGGCTGCTAGTTATGATGGTCAATATTTTATGAACTTAAAAATGAAATGAGTAAAATAAAATGAGTAATAAATTTATATCAGTGAGTTGTGACATATGATTTCTTCTGCCATAATGCCTTTCTCAATTGACTGAACAAATTTAAAACTAGTACCGCTTTTTATTGCATAATTAATGGCATATGAAGGTGTATGAAAGTGGTTAGCTCAAGGGCTATAAGCTCAACACACATTTTAGAGCCTATTGTATTTTATTTCACTGCATATTAGAGGATAATATGCCCTGTACATATTACATATAATTAATAGCAGCTTATCACCTCTGTGTATTACTACTAAATGGAAAACAAGTAACAACTTTACATCAACATAATTTCTGTCTTAATATCATCAAGCTTTGTGCTATTACCAGATTGACACAAGGGGTATATTTAGACCTTAGCTTTCACCAGTTAAACATGTGTTACTACAAGCTCATTAAATTAGCAAGAGTTGAACTGGTGAAATCTGAGCTCCAAAATATTCACTGTTGATAAAAGTGAGAATGGAAAAGATTCCATTCACAGCTCATAAACCATGTCTTGTTTTATCAACAACGACAAATTACATTTATATAGCGTCTTTCATGTCAGAAGGAAGTCCTAAAGCGAAGTGAATTTTTTTTCATTGTTTAAATGTGTCGCATCAATAGAACAAGAAATTTCAAGTGCTTTGAGATATCTTCCTGATATGAAAGGTATTATATGAATGTAAATTGTATTGTATGGTATGTGGTAGTGATCTGTCAAACTGATTGCATTGTAAAATATAGCACAATTATGTTTAATATTCCTCTATAATTTTCTTATAAGCTGTATGTCCTCAAAAAACCTTCCCTGGACCCATCCCTACTCTCCAGCTATCACTCCATCTCCAACTTACCTTTCCTCTCCAAGGCCCTGGAATGAGTTGTCATGTCCAAACTTCGCTCTTTCCTCTCCCGCCATTCCCTCTCTGAACTCCTCCAATTGGGTTTCCAAGCTGCCCACAGCACAGAAACAGTCCTGGTCAAAGTCACTAACAACATTCTGTCCATCTGTGAACAGGGTTCTCTCTGCCTCCTTGTCTTTCGTGACCTCCACTGGTTCCCCATCACTCAGAGGATACAGTTCAAGATCCTGATCCTAACTTTCAAAGCCCTCCACGCCTTGCTCCTCCTCCTAACCCTCCCAACCTGTCCACTCCCTTCGCTCAAAGGGCTCCGGCCTGCTTCTGTCCCCTGCCTTGCGTGCCCACCATTGGTAGATGGGCCTTCAGCTCTCTGCCCCCATTCTCTGGAACTGGTCTCTCTGCCTCAACCACCCCCCCCCCCCCCCCCCGCCCTGCCTCCTTCAAGAACCATATGAAGGCCCTCCTCTTCTACTGTGGTTTCAATCACCATCCTACCCCTACCCTCCCCGCTCTCCACCCTTCCTGATCCCAACAACCAGTTCGGGTGGGGATCCCTGACTGTCCATCGCCTTGGGACGTCCTCCTGATGTGAAAGGCGCCATACAAATGTAATTTGTTGTTGTTGTTGCCCGATGTCCAACCCTATTGCCTCTGTGCAGTACTCTAAGTTACTATCCTGCCTGAAGTCAGTGCACTATATAAATGCAAGTTGTTGTTGTTAACAGTCAGCATATATCTAATATATGTTTCTAAATGTTTCTAATATATATATTAGAAATCTTTCAATTGAGTTTTTATTCATCCCATCCTCAATGCAACACAGACTGCACTTAAATAACTTTAAATTATTTACTTAAAGTTCCTAAGCTTTAAAAAGAGCAGAAGTTAAATAACTTGCATTGGCCGGGAATCGAACCCGGGCCTCCGGCGTGGCAGGCGAGAATTCTACCACTGAACCACCAATGCAACTCATGGGTAATCTTTCTCTTTATTTGTTAATGACTTTGCTTTCTTGGGACATTGCAATCAGACAATTATCCAACCCTGTTATAACATGGCAGGTGGCATGCATAAAATGAGACCTTGGGTTATACCTAGAGCGGAGGGAGTAGACGAGGTTTATGTGGATAAGAGTTGTTATTAAATCAAGAGAGGGAGCCTATGCACCTAATACATAGGGTATGAGAAAATATTTGAGGACTGCAGAACTGAACTTCACCTCCCACACTAGCTCGATGCAAGTGTAAGAAGAGGAAAAATGCAATTGATGTAGCGCCTTATCAATCACCAAAACATCTCAAAGGGTTGTACTGTGAAATGATTTGACAGTATCTTTAAGGGAATAAAGCAAGACCAACATCCCAAAAACAGCAATTAAGTAAATTATCAATTTCCTTTTTTTGCAGGGATGGGGTGGTGGCGGGGGGAGTTGTTGGCCAGCATACTGGGAGAAACTCCTTTCTTTGTCGAAGAGATATTTGACATTGCTGTGCGCAGTTGGCTGCCGCGTTTCGCCCACAAAATACGCAGTCAATCCACTTTGCAGTATATCCTGTGAAGTACTTTGAGACATCTCAACAATGTGATAAGGCGCTATATCAAATGCAAGGATTGTTATTATTATTATTGAGAGATATTTAGGAACAAAATACTAAATGCAGTGTGTGATGTGATAGTTATCATTAGAACAATTATTGCACCTTTGCCCCCTTTTACTGTAAAGTGGCCATCAGTTCCTTGGAATGTATATTTCGACCTTGTTACTGTTTTGCATGTGGTTAGATTTTATATCCATAGGATTTCAGATGCAAGCATCACAGATTATTTACAGATAACCCCCCACATGTTTTCTTGAATGAATGAAGCAAACTCAGGATAACTGTCATGATCCATAATAAGGTAAATCTCAAGGATCCTCTGAATTAAATCCCCCACCTGTTTTATAGAGACTACGGACAGGAATATATCCCCATGGTTTGATGTTAACTGTTAACTACTCCTTTCCACACACTACAATTGGCAAATGGTTCGTCCCAAACAGCCTCATAAAAGGAACGTTCTTGGGATTTGACAAAGAATCAACCTTTGATTTTTGCGAACACCATAGTTTTGTGATTTTGTTTTCGATTTTGTTAGCTGTGTGTTGTGTTTATTTTAGCTCTGCCCGTTTAGGGTGTGTATAAACATTGTGTTAGACTAATTGGGCCAAATGATTGTTTTACACTGTACATTACAATGCACTTGCTAAATTAACTTATACAGTATGTACATTTTTAATTCTGTTGTTGGTGAGGGATAATCAGCAGCCAGTACATGCGAGTTTCTTTAAAATCCTTGACGTATGATGACGTGCAACCAAGAGGATTAAGAGTTGTGATATCACTAAGTGCAAGTTTATCCAAAATTAGTCTGCAGCTAATCACTAGGGAATTCTACAACCAGGGGGATAATGTACCAGACCAACAGATGGCTGGTCAAGTAATACAAGTTGTAAAATATTCATGAGATTGGTAATCAGGAGAGCTAACATAGAAAGATTTACACAGCCAATAGACTTCTGACTCATCGTTCTTTCCTGCTGTTACGTTTTGTTTCTCAGGATGCTGTTAACTTTTTCCTTACTGTCAATGTAAAACAGGAATTTGTTTAAAATGTAGAGTAGAAAGACACTCTCTGTTACCTTGCCAAAGTGTCCAGTATTCATGTGTGAACCTTGACAGTGACGGTTTCATACTGATTGTTTTAAAATGTTCTATTGTCCAGAATTTTTGTAAATTCTTATATTTGTCTTCATTTGGGTGTTGGGTTTTTTGCATTAAAAGGAATATAAGAATTATTCATAATTTTTGACGATCCGTGAAAGTCCAGGTGGAATTTTGGGCCTTTGAAACATATCAGTCATGTATCTTCTGACTCTCTGAAGAATACTTGCTGTGTGGAAACGGTTGTCGTATTTGCCTATAAAAAATGATCACTACACTTGGATGACAATTACTGTAAAATGCACTGAGATTCTAGATGCTTTCAAAATGCAAGTTCTTCCTTTATGTGGTAAGTAGCTGGTTGCTAGTTTGTTCGCTTCTCAGCCTTTTGGCTAAGATCAAGTGAGTACATGTTTTCATCAGTTACTCCTTGGGCTGTGCAGTTCCTGGCAGTCAGCTCTGCCTTTGAGGTCTCCTATCAGTGTAGCCATTCAGGTGTGCTGAGCTTGCCCATGATTTATTGGTGGGAGGCAGTCACTTTTTTAATTCTGTTTTTTGCTGGCAGCTGGTACATGTGCGAGTGCGCTCATCATTTGAGGCAATGAAGCCACAATTGTTCTGAGCCTCCCCCATGATTCTCACACTTATTACACTAATAGAAATTTACAATTCAAATTTAGAAAATTTGAGCCGGCAGAAGTACAACATTGAGATGACCTAATGTAATTGAAAACTAGCATGCCAGCAGAGAGGTGGGTGATAAGTTCAATTTGTTTCTTTATACCATTGAGTGTCTGATTTTACATGGAGGGTAGCTGCTGCTGGGCGCAGGAAGTTTGGTTGAGAAGGGATTGCATTGGGGTCGATTTGAGGAATTTGATCCACCCTCACAAGGAGCAGAGGAGAGACTGCAATATGGATCTACCTTGAGCCCTTGGCCACCAGGTTGAGGCCGGGTTTGTCTGGGTCAGAGAGGCAATCCAGTCACCTCACTTGCTCGAGTGGTCATGAGAAATGAATCAAGTCCACATCTTCTTTGATGATTAGGGACCCAGCTTTGGGTGGGGATGCTGGTTACCTAGGGGTCAAGCTAAATTTCCGTTTGACGAATGAGATACAGGTTAATTTGGCTCAGTGCCAGTGGGGACAACCTTGCTCACCAAAAAAAAGAAGGCAGCTGCTAGTCTGTTCCAATACTTTCAGTTTTAACCTTTGATAAATAAACATTTTTCTCCAGACAGAGTGTGTGAAGAAGAAAAGGATCTGGGAGACCAAGAAATCATGGGATGTGGCAACTCCAGAGCTAAACATTATCCAGCGAAGAGAAAAGAGAAAGGTAAGTCTGTTATGCTGTGTAAATCACTTCAGTCTTACGGTGCTTCGTGCTTACGGTCACCTCCTCCCTCCCCGCAGCTCTGGCTCAGGCTCCGCCACTGTTCTGCACACTGAGACAAAACACTAACCCATGTGAAAGGCTGCTATATAAATGCAACTTGTTGTTGACGTTGTTATGGATGCCAGCCAGCTAGCCTGCTCATTGGCAAGACTTGGAAGGGCAGACCAGTCACAGGGGCAGGTACTTTTCCCACTCAGCTCCTGTTAACCCTAACTGCATAAGTAGTGGGAAAGTTTGCCGATAGTGATATTTATGGCAAGTCTATGCCATAGACTCCAGCAGTTACAGCAGCACACACTCTGGGCTCCCCAAGCCTTGCTCTTGCCAACCTGTACATAATACTTTCTGGAATTGGGTAAGCAGGATGTATCCTTCCAGGGAGAGAGTGCGCATTCCATTCCAACAAATATCGCTGGAATTTCCATGTATAGGTGGGATATATGAATTCTCTGTTTGGTTTGGATACTCTTAATCCATCATGGTGATGGATTTCCCCATGTGTCAGACACCTAGCTGATCAAAAAAAAATTATCGCTTACATTTTCCTCACGTCACTTCGACCTTTTGGTCAATATTTACAAATATTGTAAAAATAATTACAAAAGCTTATCACTAACTAATTTATTATTTATGTTCGGATTTTTTGGAATAAAATTGTATTCATTTATTCAGTTGGATCTTCCCAGATTTTAGTCATCCACACTGTCTCTGTAAAGTGCTCTGAAACTTTATGCTAGATGGAAGGTGAAAGCACAATTGTTGTTATTGTTTCCACCTTTGGTAAAATTAGACCATAAAAAATACCAAAGTCTAGTTCATTTTCACTGAGTTGCTCAACTTCACTAGCAAGAGTAGCTGAATACTTACCATTTTTAAATGCTATTAATTTGACTTTCCTTTTTAACTTGCAATGCGAATTGCTCCATATAACCCCTGCCATTCAGTGGACAATGCTACAATTGTACTTCCCTTTGATTCTCCTCCAGCACAGTCCCAGAACATGTATGTTTCATTTCAATCTAATCTTTTCTTTCATGTTCTATTACAGCAGAATCCTTGACTCCCGCAGGTGGGTAGTGATATTAACGCTCGCTCGAATTTTTGCTTTAAGATGTCAGTCTAAATAGATAACATTTTAGAAGATTTACTTTTGTGCAAATATCATAGCAAATAAGATCATAGAAAATAAGATCATAGCAAAAGTAGCTATTTGTTTTTCGATACTGCCTTTTACAGTGTCAACTATTAAAATAGGTGGTTTCCAAGTGAAGCATCTTTCACTTGGAAGTGAAGTGTAACGGTAGGGTGAAAGAATGCAACATTTCATAACAGATTGATGAATTTTCACACAGTATAACACCAAGTATAACTTCCAGCCTCAGTGTTAAATTGCTGAAAATGACAAACTCTACATGTACTAATCCCCTGTTAGAACCTGTTACAAGCAGCTATACTCAACTCATTCCAAGGATATAGTGGAGACAGGGTGATTTCTAGCTATGGTTCTGAGTAAGCAGATCATTGCCACGTTAACTGTGTCTTGTAGTTTTAATTAAGAACAGTAATATACTTTGGTACGTATTTCATTTATGGAAGTATAAGTGATAAAAGAGCTTGGTTATGGACTCCCAGCTGCAAAAAAAGGGGGGAAATGATAGATTTGACACATTCATTCATTTATTACCGGGAATTAATTCATACATTTGATCAGGTGACTTGTGACAATACTGTAAATTAAACACTTTATAGAATACATTATTAAAATATTTTTTGTAACATTTCTTTCTGACAGATAGCATTTGCCATCCTAAACCTTCCAAATACGATTACTAAATGATATAACCGTTGAAATCACTGAATATATTTCTTGTCGTTGGTATCATGCTCTCTTGAGCAGCCAAAGCTGTTATTATAAACTGTATAAATTATAAACTGTATTTTTTCTATTTATTGCACATCTCCTGGAAAATCAATACACAGCTAGCACAGGTAAGAAACAATGGGAACCGGATCACTGATTCTTTATCTATGGTTACATGGAGAAATGTCCCACGTTGGTCTAGGCTGACAAAGGAGCATTGACTCATAGGAGGTGCTGTCCTTCGAATAAGAAACTAGGTCCTGTTTGGTGTAGAGGCCAATAATACCCCAGATAAAATTGGTCATTAACCTTATAGCTGTTCGTAGGACATTGCTGTGTGTAAAGTTGGATGCTGTTCACCCAAAAATACATAGTCACTACACTTTACTGTGAAGCACTTTGAGACATTTTGATGATGACATTAAGTGCTATATTAAATACAAGCATTATTATTGTTATGAAGTTTGGATTTACTGATCTACATTGAGTTCAACTTCCAGGAATACCAGCACAATAGCTACACTGTAGATTTTAGTCCCTGAAGTACTCTAACCCCAATTCAGGGTTTGGTGCAGTCAGGTTCTCTGTGAAATTCTTGTGCCATCTCTTGAGCTTCCTTGCGAGAGACTCTGGTTAAAAATAGCAATGTCTTGTGGGGTTTATACAGGAAATAAACAGCAAGCTGGTATCCAAATGATTTGATTGTGTTTGTGCCTTCATTGTGTAATGCAAATTTTTCAGAGTAGTTTTATATAAAATATTGTTTTATGTCATTTCTCTTTTTTACATAATCAATGTAAGTTAACCTGCACTGATTTACACTAATGCAGTTTTCTTAAGAGCTTTGAAGTCAGTTTTGTTGGTAATGAATACTCAGTCCAGCCTGTCCAGTATTTACTTGAGTTCCTATTGCTGCTCTTGCTTTTGCAGAAGTGGGATACAGTTCTGATTCTCAGCATTGATATTCCTTACTTTGATGGACAAAGTATTTGTCACAGAGTATTCAGTTAGAATTGAAATAGAAAACCTTCATTTCTAAATCAGATTCTGTCTGTTGACTGACAGAACTGCTAACCAAAACCCCTTTGTGAAAACTGTCTTACTTCTAATAAAAAAAATCTTTATTGTATACATCATCTGCTAACCGCTTACAAAACAGACAGGCAGTACATAGCGAGAATTGCTGTTTTGAGATATTTGCTTTAAAAGACACTATAATAACGCAATTCGTAGAATGGCGAAATCGATCTTCAGAGATGTCATAGGAAGAACATCAATGTCCAAATGTTCCCCTTTAGCAATTGACCAGAAGTAGATCAAGGTAATCTTAAACTAACTAAAGATTTTTTTTTAAAACATGGATTTTATGAATGTGATTCAATGTATCTTGTCCTTTGTCCCAGCCATCAAAGCTGCCATTCTGATCCAGAGGTGGTATCGACAGTATGTTGCCCAAATGGAGGTTCGCAGACGCTGTACATGGAACATTTTCCAATCCATTGAGTATGCTGGGGAGCAGGATCGCATTAATGTAAGGTTTCCTTCAGTTCATCAATGGTTACATTGCATAATAAAGGAACACCTCTCTCATCTTCCCATACATGAGAAACTCTGCACGCGTGCACACGCACACACACACATATATATACATTAGTTTTAGAAACAAAAACAGAGAGAGTTGTGAAAACTCAGCAGGTCAGGTAGCATCTATGGAGAAAGGAACGTGAGTCAACTTTTCCAGCATCTGCAGTATTTTGTGTTTTGTACATTAGTATTAGGTTCACCAAGGTCCAAAAACATAGGACATAACTTTAAAATTAGAGTTAAAATGGTGAAAGATGTGGTGAGAAAAAGTTGTTCAATAAAGTGCTATGGGAATATGGAACAGACTGCCTCAGACTGCCATAGACAGAGAATCAAAATGTTCGATAGAGAGAGAAAATGTAAGGGTATTTAAGAATATGGCATAGACTTAATGACAGAGAAGGCAGGATGGGCTGAAAGGCCTACTACTGTTCCTATGCTCCTGAAGTCCCTGAGCCGTACAGTAAAATGTTTTGAAAAGCTATTTAACCCAGGCTTTTTCTTTCTTACGCTATTTCAGTTGGGTTCATCAAAGCCCGTTTGCCATTACTGTACGATTGATGACCCTGGCCTCATTTCTAGTCTAGTGACAGTAGTAGTGAATGATCTCTTTCTCCTTGGCAGCTCCACAATTTCTTCAGTTACTTGATGGACCACTTCACTCCAGCTTGCAGCCAAGAGGGTAAGTCCATTTCAAACTGCTGATAGTTAAGCACAGTTTGCCATCTACCACAATGACTAAAAGGATTTTCAGTAAGAATTAAGTACTGTGCACACTTGTAAATTTAGGATAAAAGAACTCTCCCAGGACTCTAAGGAGTTGAAATTAATGATGTAAATACATTAATTTTACATGAAAAACTCCCGTGAAGAGTTGGCACTTGTTTTTTTTTGTATCAGGTGCCTGTGTCCAGTCTATGGAAAGGTCCTAAGATATCCATGTGTTTGGGTGGGGTTTTTTTCAAGGCAGAATTTACATTATTTTGTGATGACAAGCCTTGTATTTAGATAACTTTTTGGAACAACATTGATTATATGTTGTGCAAATTGTTGTTGTCCTTTATGCATAGTGATGTTTTTACAATGCGTTATTCATTTCATGGCTCTTCTTAGGCCATTGTGCACCAATTGACTGCTGCTTTCACCCACAAAACACACAGTCACTAAACTTTACAGTATATCTGTGAAGTGCTTTGAGGCATCCTTCTGATGTGAAAGGCACTATACCAAATGTAAAAAATTATCATTAGTATTCTCTGCCTCTGCTAGGTGCTGTATTGTATTTCTGTAATGTCATTTCAGAACCTCTATAAAATAAGCCTAAATTGATCTACATATTCTTAACAAATAATTTTCAAAGCCTTAAATAGCTGGTACAGGACATTGTAAAGTGAACTCAGAACCCATAAACCCTGCAGGAGATGTTTCCAAGCAGGAGATAGGTAGAAAATGAAATGGTTTAGGAAGAGAGTTCCCAAGGACGGGGGAATGATGTCTGAAGGCTTGGGAACTGAACATGCAATGGAAGGAGTAGGTCATAGATCTGGATCTGTGGAGGGAAAAGTGTCAACTGGGATGTAGGGTTGGAGAAACCTGCATGAATAAGGTGGAGATGGACTGTAGAGGGATTGAAAAGACAAGGATCTTAAAATTGGCCTATTGACTATTTTTTCCTTTCCCTCCCCAGGGGACCTCATTTCCCATATCTTCACTCAGACGGATGGTTCATGTAAGGACGCAGAGCTAGATAATTACTTTGACTACAAAACCATTGAGGTTACCTCCTCATATGCTGGACCTCATCTCTGTTTCCCTCTCACCCCTGCACATGTAACTGCCTTACTGGAAGCCTTCAAACAAAATCAAGTAAGTAATCAAATAACACAAATCTAATTTCAAACAATAGTATATTTGCAGCTGATATAAACAGTCATTGGGATCTTCACTGTTTATAAACAAGGTATGCATCAGTCAAGACCTTTAATACTTGCAACACTGTTGAGAGAAATTCTGCCCTGATTTGTTTTCTTAGTGTTTCAGAGCTACAGAAATCCCACTTCAAAGTTAAGACTGAGTTTGACAATTTGCCAAATTCTATCAATTCTGAAACGCTAAGAAAGTAGAGTAATTCTGGATCCAGATGGAATTTCTTCCCCAGTACCTCTTTAAAGTGACTCACTTTTCAATCTTTCTTCATTTTGTTTGTAAACACACAATCCAATGATGTACATTACATGAACACATCAACTCACCTTGTGACAATTGGCTGTTAGTGGCTAACTTCTCACTACGGTAGTCCCAAAACAATCCACTATTGTCATACACATTGCTTTACTAATTAGCGATAGGAATTAGTGTCCAATTAATCAAAATCAATTTATTGAAGACGTATAACAGTACTTCAGAACATGTTTTATTGGATAGAAATGATTTTAAAGATGTCTTCTGTACATTTAGTGCATGAATTGTTAGCTGAAGGCCTGTGTTTTCAGATGGATTGACTGAAATGGTCCTGCACTTTCTCACTCTCACTCCTTTTCTCCCAGTAGCAGCTTCATGCTTGCTATGTATTACAGCTTCTGAATGAAGCCAGGAAACATCTGAAGAAATTGCCAAATATCACCCATATTTCTACCAGCTATGAGAAAGAGATTACTATTTGTGGTAAGCGAAAATGTTATTTGCATTTTAACAATTCACTCAGATTACAAATTGCAATGCCCAGTTAGTTTAAAGTGAGTTATGAAGTTATAGCATAATTGAACACTTCACCTGATGTGAGATAAATTTGTGAATGTTATCTGAACCCTGGGGTATATTAGAGATGGTAACTCATTGCTGCAAGTACTGATATTATATGTTTATTATCTCTGACATTTTGCATGTACTAGTAGTTATAAATTCCCCGTTAATGTTGATGGCAATATAACAATCTTCCGAAGAATATACTTATCATTAGGTCGTGGCACAGACTGAGGGTCTACAGGATTAATAAGATGAATGCCTGAAAGGAAATCTGGGATATATGTGCTTATGTGCTACTCATGCTACATTGTATGTTATAAACTGATGTTTTTCTGGAAAGGGAGGGAGAAGGGAATAATTTCCAAAGTCTAATTAGAAAGGCCAGAGAGCAAAATGCATGGGTTTGAATATACTTATTTTTTCTCTCTGAGGGGTGTGAGGAGATGGTGTTTTGCTCTCCTGACATTTCACAAAAATGAGCTACTTTCAATGTTTTTTGAGAATATCAGACCTCACCATGTACACTGTAAGAAAGAGGTCTCTTTGCGAGCCCAATTACCACTTCCTCTCACCCAACTGAAGTCTACAAAAAGAAGAAAATCTGGAACAGTATTTTCATGCACATTCAAATTCAAAGGAAAAATAATACTGTTATAATGGGATTTTGTCTTTGTTAGATACCATTGACTAATGTATTCAATGCACATTCAAGTTATTGATTTAATCAATCAAAGTGTTGAACTCTTCTGTGGTATGCTCCACCTGTAAAACACTGAAACAAAATTATTTTTCCTTCCTCCTTGAAATATGTAGGAGATCTGCATGGGAAGCTGGAAGACCTATTTTTAGTATTTTATAAGGTAAGTACTTTTCAAAGCCAACTTGCTCAGCTCCACTGGCTCCCCATCCATCAGCTAATCAAATTCAAGATCGTGTCCTCATGTTTTTATCCCTCCACAGTCGTGCCCCAACCTACCGCTCACCTTACCACCCCCTCCTCACCTTCTATCCCCTCCAGCTTGGGCTCCCAGTTAGGTATGTAAAGTTCTATGACACGTCCTCCCCATGTGAAAGGCGCTATAGACATGTAAACTGTTGTTGCAACAATAATAGTTGACATGCCTATAGTTCCTTTCTGCAATATAGTCCTGAACAGCGCATCATTTCACTTGGTAGCAATAATAATCTAGTAATGATTAGAAGAAAATGTGATCTAAATTGCCTCATTCACAAAGGGTGGGAAGTGTTACATTGAGCCTCATCAGATCAGATTGGGCTCAACGATTTCCAAACAGTGCCAAAGTGCAGATCTAAAAATATTATTGAGTAAACTCGCTGGTGATGGAGGAGATGGGACTCTTCTCTCTAGCCTTTAGGTTTGCAATTAATAATCCAGTCTTTTGTTGCTTTTTCCCCCTTAGCGAATATCCTGAATTAGATCCTGATAAGTACATTACGAGAATTTTTCTTCCAGAGGCAACACATTTTATTTTTCACATTTTGATTTTCCACAATAAAAGGCTGTAACTTGTATCACAATTAAATGTTCACCAGTATTCTGTCAATGCAAATGACCTAAGTAAGTTTCATTGAGGTTCATAGAAAAGGTTGACTGGACTTAACTGAATTCTGCACACATGTGAAACATCACTAGAGATGTATTTCTGCAATCTCTGCTATCAATATAATCCTCCACATTAATTGTCCGTTCAACTCGTGGCTGTTTCTGGGCATTTTGTGGCAAAAGCAGCTGCTGCACCTCTATTAAAACAGTCAATACATTTGAAGCATTTTTGCTTGTGAAGCACTGTGAGACATTTTGAATCATGAAGCACTGTAAAATAGTTTAAGTTTTCTCTCTCTCAGTGGCACAAAACATTAACCAATGGTGAGTTCCAAACTCTGCCATAAGCTGTTGCATTTTCAACAAATAACAGGTACACACTTCCCGTAAACCTGTGATTGCACACCAGTTTCCAGCCCATGACACCACAATCTAGAATTGTTGATATAATAGGATATAATGGTATAATGGCACTGATCCAATTTTTCTCTCCTCAACCAGAATGGACTTCCATCCCCAGAAAAGGTCTATGTCTTCAATGGAGATTATGTTGACAGAGGCAAACATTCCATTGAGATTCTGCTGATCTTGTTGACATTCCTCCTTGTTTACCCCAAAGAAGTCCATCTGAATAGAGGAAACCATGAAGATCATATCATGAACCTAAGGTATTTCCAGTTGGCCAGAAGTGGTGATTGAACAAAATAATATGCAGTAAACTCCTGATAACTCGTCACTCCAAGGGGAAAAGGCTCAGTTACACGTTATCCAGAGTGGCGAGTTAGGCATATTTATAAATACATAAATAAATGCGGCCAGGATATTGACAGTATGGTGACTTAAGTGGTAGTGACAAGGTAAGCCAGGGTTATGTTATCAGGTGTTTACTGTATATACATTTAAGAGGAAGCAAGACGTTCACATGAAGGAGAAGATATGGAAGAGTATGGGAGAGAGTAAGGAGGGCTCAGGATATTTGGAACCAAATGGATGGCCATTCTGAGGACATCTGAAGGGCAGAGTGTTCCTCTAAAAGATCACACTGAGAAAAGTGACCGACTTTGTCATGACAGCTCAAGTAACAGCTGTGTGAATGCTGCAATGTTAAGCTTACTGTAAATGTCGCTTAAATATATTTCTCTATTTCAGATATGGCTTCACAAAGGAAGTCATGCAGAAGTATAAGGTGAGCATTTGGGCAATTTCTGTCAATTTCCTGTAATCCCACATTCCTCTTTGAACACATACGCGGCTTCCTGCAGGGCTAAGGACTGTGTTGTTTGTTTCAGGTGCATGGGAAGAGAATGTTAAAGCTAATTCAGAGTATTTTCAGTTGGCTGCCGCTAGCTACTATTATAGATGAGAAAATATTGATTACACACGGAGGGATCTCAGAAACAACGGATTTGGACTTTCTGGCCAAAATTGACAGACACAAGGTACAGTACAACCACTTAAAAACTGTCCAGTGCATCTCATAGAATAATTAAATCACAAGTGTTACAGCACAGAAACAAACCATCCAGCCTTCATTGATGTTTTTCTCCACAAGAACCATTTAATCTAATCTTACTCTTTTGCTCACTTCCCATATCCTTTAATATTCTGCCTTTTCAACCAGCTTTTAAAGGAAAGTGTGGACTCCGCTTGAACAACAGTCATTACGTATTAATTTGCTAAAATCAAAATTTTCAAAATTCTATTGAAATGTATTGCATTGTGTCCATACTGGCGCAAGGTCCCATTTCATTCCTGTGCCTTCACTTTAATTTAATTCTGTGACATGCTTTGCGATGCTTCGTTTACATGAAAGGTGTTGCTTAAGTAAACGTTGCTGTATGAGTAAAGCGACATCACCAAAATGTTTCTTTCTAAAAAAAAACAAATGAATCTTTCTGTGACAGTACATTTCGACACTGAGACCGCCCAAGAGAAACAGGAAAAGATTTGAATATGGCAAGCAGGTGTCAGGACAGGGCTTGCACTTTAACGGGGATAGTGAAGAGTGCATGAGCAGCTCGTGTCAAACTCCAGGCAACAACTTACTGACTGGCAGCTCCATACTGAGTTATGCTCACACTTACAAAAGCCAAAGGAACAATACATCTGCATTGATCCAGGTGAACAAAAAGGAAATCTCTAAAAGAGTCCGACGCTCTGTTGAGGAGGAATTAGAGAAATGTCGTCGACAAGTGGGCTTCGGTGACACATATGATGAATCGAAGGTGGTAATTTCCATGTCTGATTCCGACTCCGAGTCATATGAACCCCTGGAATCTGATAACCTTGAATGGAATCAGGTGAGCCCGACACAGATTTCAAGGGTTTATTTGCGTATGGTTTATTTTGCCAACAAAATATACAGTCACTTTACAGTATATTCTGTGAAGCGCTTTGAAGCATCTCGAAGATCTGATAAGGCGCTTTCTCAAATACAAGGATTATTATTATTATTATTATAGATGGTGAGGGATTTAACTTGAAAAGTTGATTGATTTACAGAAAAAGAGTTGCTGGTATGCACCTGACTTACCGGTCAGCAGATTGTTGCGTTAAAGTGCTAGTTAACAGGATACAATCTTTATTCAGCAAATAACTCAGATTAAAGATAGTATCTTGCTAATCTACCCCTGGCTAGAAGTCCAATTGTGATCCAGCAGCAGTGTCAGCCTCAGCTACTCTAACAGAGTTGTGGAGGGGATGGAAAGGAGGGAAACCACCCCTGCAGACTAGTCAATATATCGAGTGGACAGAATTGTAAACTATGTAACAATTAACAAACTAGCTTTCAACAGTCAGTGCCTTTAAGACCTCAAAGCAACTTGAGAGCTGAATTAATCCATGGTACTGAAAGGGTTAATCCCAATATCACTGGGCATTGTAATCTCCTACATACAGTGACATTTGGAATACTGCATTGCTTCGGGGACCCAACCTTCAAAAGGGCATTGATGTATTTCTCGATTCTGTACTGGTTAATTGTGTATTAAATGATCTGTCATTAACTGGTCAAGGATAGGAAGGAAGAATATACTGACAATAGCTCTGTTCTTTCCCTTTTCCGGAGGTTGTGGATATTTTATGGAGTGATCCTATGCACCAGGAAGGCTGTGTTTCTAACACTGTCAGAGGCGCCGGGTGTTATTTTGGACCTGATGTGACTGAGAAAATACTAAAAAAGCATAACCTACTGCTCTTGATCCGCTCCCATGAATGCAAACAAGAAGGTTACGAATTTTGCCATAATCGCAAGGTATAAATAACCCTTCACAAGTTTTATTGAAAATGAATCATCAGTTTCAGATAGTCTAGTGAGCAAAAGCACTGCCTTGCACAGCCCTAGGCCACACAAAACAGAACAACAACAACAAAATTACATTTATATAGCACCTTTCACATTGGGAAAAACAAATCTTCCAAGGTTCCCGCTCCTGAGCATGATCCAGAGTCACAACTGTTCTCGGTCATCAGATGAGGGCTGGATGAGACTCAGCTGAGATGCTGCCTGAAATCAAATAATTTGCCCACATTCTCCATCAAGGTTTCAACATGACTTTCTCAGCATCTTGGTTAAGATCAAGTGTAGTATCTATTCATATCAGTTACTCATTGGATTATGTGCCTGCCATTGTTTCTTGTGGCACTTGTTACACCAACACACAATGATCGAGTTCAAAACAAACTTGCTACCCTACAACAACTTGCACTTTTTTCAGACCGCCTCACAGATCCTCCAAGCTGCACTGAGGAGAGGAAAGAGAATTTAAGGGTGCTAGCTAAAGCATGGTCAAAGAGATACATATTAAAAAGGTTTTGCAGGCTAGGAGAGAACTGTTTTCCAGCCAGTGCTAGTTGAGCCAGTATTCCGAGGGATTCATTGCCTCAGTGGCTCCTGACTGTACAACATTGCTGCATATTTATAATTTAAATTGCTTTTCCTAACAGTTTTTTTTCAACATGCTGAAGAGCCCTGTCAAGGCATTGCAGTTGCAATTATTCAATTGTAACATCAGCTATTTACCTTAAACTCTTTGCCAGTTAATTGTATGACACAGAAAGCTCAAATGCAATGGATTTCAACAACAACAACAACAAGATTCCATTTATAGTTGTCAGTTGTCTTAGCAGATTTGCCTCAATCTGTTTTAATTTGAATTAATTGGTACTAAAGTTCATAGAATAATGTTTGTTTTTATTCCTACATTATGATTGCCACCATGATTACCAGCAAAACATCGCAGCATTATTCTTACTATTACCATTACAGGTCCTGACCATATTTTCTGCTTCCAATTATTATGAAGTGGGCAGTAACAGAGGAGCCTATGTGAAGCTTGGTCCCGATCTCATCCCTCACATTGTGCAGTATCAAGCCAATAAATCCATTCACAAGCTTACCCTGAGACAGAGGTGTGTGACATACAAGTTTTCGCCCACAAAATGTACAGTCAATTCACTTTACAATATATTCTGTGAAGCGCTTTGAGATGTCTCAACGATGTCTTAAGGCATTGTATCGTCTCAATGATATGACGAGGCACTGTATCATCTCAACAATGTGATGAGACAAATGCAAATATTATTATTATTATTATGATTATTATGTGCAGCCTGAAGTTGTCCAGGGAGGTGGTAACACATTGGACATCTTGAACCAGATATTTTGAGTAAACATGTATTTACAGTTAATGATCTCCCAATACCAGATGATACAGCATCCATTATTATCCATTATCCTGTTTGATACACAGATCATGTGGAGTCCTGTGGCTCAGTGGTTAGAGCACTCGCCTTGCAAGCGAGAGACCTGGGTTCAATTCCAGTCAGGGCGAAACCTTGGGCAAGTTTCCTTACTCCACATGCCTAATAATAATCCCTCCAAAACAAAACAATAATAAATTGGTCATTTTCAATCCACGACTGTTTGTGGGACATTGCTGTGCGCAATTGTCTGCTGCATTTTACCCACAAATATACAGTAAATTCACTTTACAGTGTGTTCTGTGAAGCACTTTGAGACATCTAGAAGATGTGAAAGGCGCTATATCAAATGCAAGGATTATTATTATTATCATTCAAGTAATGTTTCAATGTTACTTTTTCCCTCCCCACCCACTCCACAGAGTGAGTAAGGTTGAGACGTCAGCGCTAAGAGCTCTGCGGGAGAAGATCTTTACTCACAAATCAGAGCTCATCAGTGCTTTTGAGCTTTATGACAAGAGAAAAATAGGTAGGGCAACAAATGAAGTTTTATATCTGTGTAGCTATTAATTTTGTATAATCTGCAACTCCCTGAGCGAATGGAACAGCTTACATGAATTTGGTGAGCAGGGTGCGTCACTCCAGGGACAGTCAATCCAGACACAGGGAAATTTTCACATGTAGTTCACATACATATGTGGAACTCTCAGTCTGCCTCCCACACCCATTTACCCTCTTACTTACCAACTCCCCGTTGTTAATTGATAACTTAGTGATTCTTTGCATATCCATATAAGATGTATTTCCTGTTTGTTCTGTTTCTGAAACCATATATATAATGGCATGAATCTGGCATGAAAACTCCAGTACTGTAGCTAACCACATTGATTCAGCTGTCCCACCTCAAGTAGGCGATCTGGCATCACAGCGAGTGGCTCTGTATGCGTATAACAATTGTAGGCAGCACAAGACTCAGAAGCCTCCATTAGTTTATTTCTTCACAGTGCCATGACACAGATTGTTAATAAAGCCTCTGTTTACTGACACATTTGATCTCTTTGGATTAGTCGACTAGACTCAAGGTGATAAGTAGATTTGCCTTGGTGTTTTGGGGTCACGGAGTCCACACACATTCAAGATACAGTAAACACCCAATAACTCAACTCTGGCTTAACTTGTCACAACCACTTAATTCATTATGTGGTCAATATCCATGCCGCACTTATTTATACATTTATACATAAATGTATAATCTACTCTGCGTAATTTGCCACTGAGCCCTTTCCCCTTGGAGTCATGAGTTATCAGGAGTTTCCCCTTGTACTGTTTCTCTTCCAAATTACAGTGACACTGGCAATTGGACAGTGTAACCCTGCCCAGATGCATATAATAATATTGTGTTGCTAGTCCCAATAGTAAAGAAGAACACTCTGGACTGCTATCTAATGTGAAAAATTCATGATAAATTTCCGATTTTCTTTATTTTCCTTCCTGTTGAGGTATATACAAGTTATGTTTCCTGTGATCTCTTCAAAAATAATAATAATTTGGTGACTGAATCCATGACTGTTTGTGGGTCACTGCTTTGCACAATTGGCTGCCGCGTTTCGCCCACAAAATATACAGTCGATTCACTTTACAGCTTTGAGAGTCTCGAAGACATGATAAGACGCTATATCAAATGCAAGAATTATTATTATTACCATCATCATCATGTGAGAGTCCGCCTGACTCAGGAGGTGAATGCGCTATACCAAATGGAAGGATAATTATTAGTATTATTTGCACAGGTAAAATTTCACTGAACGACTGGGCAACCGCAATGGAGTCCATCCTACGTCTGGGACTACCATGGCGAGTGTTGCGATCCCAACTTGTGCCTAGCACTCATGATGGACTTTTGCAATACTGCTCATGGTTTGATAATCTTGCCATACAAGAACCCGTTGCACAGGTAAGAGTAACAGATTATTTTCAAGGAAAGAAATCCTTGAATAATTCTGATATGTGTCAGGCCAATTCAGATCCAAACCCTGAATCAATTATTATTGAGAAATTATAACTGGTTAGACTCCAGCAGTACCCCAATGCACACGCTGCGCAGGCTCCAAGTTTTGGCTCATGCACCTAATACTTTCCGGAATTAGGTAAGCAGGACGCATCCATTCAGAGAGAGAATGCGGATTGCATTCCAAACATCTATCTCTGAAATTTCCATGTGCAGGTGGGATGCATGGAATTCTCAGTTTGGTTTGGATATTCTTAAGCATGGTGATGGGTTTCCGCATGTGTCAGACACCAGGCTGACCAAAAGAAAATTGAGACACCAGAGAGTCACAGAGTACAAATTGGTGAATGCCAATTGGTGAAGAACTTCCAAGATCCTAGATTTGGAACTATGGTCCCTATTTCCAATTCTTCACATGATCAATCTGTTTTTATTTCTGGCAATTGGGACAAAGACCATAAAAAGATGGAGAATTGCACATTCCAAGCACAAGCCCATATAAAGACAAGTTAGAAAGCAGCAGTACAAAAGCTTAGTGAGTAAAAGCTATAAGGCCATCTGATGCAGTCTGATAGTTTTAAAAAGCCTGTACTTTTTTGCAGAATATACAGACGAGCCTGTTGGAAAAGCTTTACAGAAACAGGACAGACCTCGAGACAATTTTCCGAATCATTGACAGTGATCACTCAGGTATGTACTGACACTTTTCACGTGATCACAAATAAGGTTGGGTTAAGAAGATCATTTGGCCCGTTTGATCTAATCTTTCCAGAATACACCCTCCATCATCTTCCTATCACAGCATCAAGCTGATTCTTTTAAAAACAGTTCCAGCGTCCTGGCCTCAACCCTTTCTGATAACTCATTAATTACTCTCTGTGTAAAAGAGAGTATTTAATTAATGGACAGATTACCAGAAAGGGCAGTTGAAGTCAGGATGCTGGCTCTACTTGAAACACATGTATTTACAGTTAATGATAACAGACATTTAATCAAATGAGAGGAATTAGTTTTCACTACCACACTCAGGGCGAGAATTTCTTTATGATGTGTCCTAGAGGAAGCAGAATGGCGATTTAACGCAAAAAGTCATTATTGCTAAATTTTTTGTGGTTTCACAACAATCTCAAGCAAATCAACATAAATAAAAGTAACATGTTTTGTGTGCTGTCAAATTTATGGTGTTATGATAAAAGTCAAGCTGTTGTAACACCAATATCATAGGAAGCAACAGACAAATTATTAATTAGATTAGAAAATAAAAATAATCAGTTATTCTGCAGCAAACTTTTGCAAAAGTCTGAAATTGAGTTGTTTCACAATCAGATTGTTGTGTTCACTGGTTTTTAAATTCGTCCACTCTTTAAAATTTCTGGAATCTACTTCTTATTTTTAGACTGCCCAGTGTATTGATGGGTATGTTTAAGACAGACACCAGTAAGTAGAGTATTTTGTTAAATAATGGCTTCCATTGCTGAAATAGGTTATTAGGGAAGAGTGACAAGAGTCCATTTAAGAAACAGCTGGATCCTATAAATAGGGTTGGTATTCTGGCAGGATCAGATCAAAAGACCAAATGGCCTCCTTTATCCAAACTGCTTTTATGATTTTGCGAAGAGAAGAAATACCCTACAATTAAATTGATTCATTCTCATTCCCTTACTTTTGGCAGGGTTGATATCATTTGAGGAATTTCAACAGACTTGGAAACTCCTGAGTTCTCACCTGAAGGTTGAAGTCAGTGACAAAGGGATCTCTGACCTAGCTCGCAGCATCGACTTCAATAAGGATGGAAACATAGATATCAATGAGTTCCTCGAGGCTTTCCGACTGGTTGACAAGTCGCATTACAATGAGAGAGATGCCAATTTGTTGCCAGCCCCACAGAGCAGATAGGCAAGTATGTCAGAGTAACCAAAGAATGGAAATCTCAGCGAGGAAGCCAGACTGATTAGATGAACTTTCGCACACCTTAAAAAGTAAATGGAGGCAAACATACCTGATCAAATCTGATCCAAACACAATTTTCAATACGCTATTTAAAATCACGGCTGCTACAAAGATATCCTGGTAACTTAGTTGTGCAATTATTGAGCTGTACAAACAATTATGCCTGACTGTACAGCAATCCTTTACAGGTGCCTGATTCTGTGGAATGATATTGTTTTCAGAGGTCTCACTTTCACATTAATACAGTTTACATTGCTTTATTAAAAATAAATGCTTTGCAAAGAATATCACTGTCGGCAACAATTTGTGTTTGTATTGGTATCACTGATAAAACGCTTTATTTTTAAAACCCATTTTGTATCTCATTACCATATTCCTATCACTACTGTTTCAAAATGGGTTTTGGGCTCCATCGATGACCTCCATCAGTAGGTCAATAATCTACCCAGTGCAATACTGGACCATAATAATAATAATCCTTGCATATACTGTAGATAGACCATGACAGTTGGATATCAAATAGACATAGTCCTAAAGACACTATTTCCAGCTGGTTTCAGAAATGGAATATTTACATTGGTGCGATGGGTTCTCTGAGGTCATGGTGCAAGTATATTGCTTGGGCTGAGTGGAGGAAATTTTCCTTGCATCGAGTCTGTGCTATAGCTATAAGATGCGGTAGACGCCAGAACTGAATACCAGCTCCTCTCTCACTAGTTCTGAGCCAGGCATGTTATCCGGGGAAGCGGAATGAAGGCAACAACTTTTTATGACACCTGACAGGTACTGACAGCTCTCAGCAAGTTCTCAGTCTGCATTAGTGTTCCATCACTGCTGGTAAAGTGGAGGAAGCAGAGGTCATGCAGAATTATATCGTGGGTATTAACTATTTGTGCTACAAATTAAGCACAGATGAAAGGGAAGTCAGCATTACAATAACAAACATAAACAGATGGTTATTAAAGCAAATTGTTTAATCAGAATCAATTTCTCCTTTGCATAATTGTTACAAATTTTAATGTACTAAAACAAGTCCTTCAGTAGTTTCTTTGTGTGGCCTTTGGCTTGCAACCATCATTGAGAAACACCGATGTGCAGGTTTCAAAGTGACAATCATCAGGTACAATGGAAAAGATTTGTAAAAGTGAACCCCAATCCTTACCAGATATAAAAGGAGCTCCATACCATTTGCATGAGAAATACTGTGACTGACATTTTTAAAAAATCAATACCCTATGTTCCTTATGCTACAAAAATTGTACGTTTGTTTTCATATAAAGAGGTCTTGTGGGTATGTAGCACTTTCATATATGCTGTATTAATCAAGGTACCACTTGGCTATCACACCCTCTAGTACAGTATATCTGACATGTAGATACTCTTAAGGTTATCCTTTCAAGCTCCATTGACCCATAAACTGTTTGAAACTACTAAGCACAATCAAATAAATGCAAAATGCTTGTGGCAAAATCTCAACATGTTCCTGATATACACTCAGGTTGGTACAGCCACTTCTTTTAATGTACAGTTATTAACAGCACTTTTTCTGTCCCTACCCATTCGATGTAGAATAGAGTCCACAGTACAGCTTTCAGATGGAAAACACTTAGAAAGGAAAACAAGTTCCAGTGTGTATATTTTTCAATTAAAATCAGCTACTGGGATGCTAGTGCTGCAAAGCTCCATAACTGGCTTCTTAATGAAGGGCTGACAGCACCCAAGTGTATGACAAATACCCTAACACTGTTTGCTGAAACAACTGAAATATTCACTGAATAATAACATCCTCCACCACCACACACCTAATCTAGACCTGAGGTGCTGCATTTTTTGAGTTAAACAGTGAAACAAATGTTAGACAGGGAATGAATAATATGCACATTAAGTACCCGATATTACAGAAGTCTGTTTAAGCAACATGCTGTTACAGAAAGGCTGTCAGCTGAAAAGATCTCGTCGAATGTGAACGCTCTCACTTAGCCCATGTTCAATCAGCTTCACATCCTCCAGATCTTCTTTCAGGACACTTATCAAATGGCTCAATCCTTCCTGCTGCAGCTTCAGGTGCTAGAAAGAGAAACAAGGGACATCAGAGGCCTGAAATTACTCACGGTCTAAAGTTAAACATTCTTAAGTTCAGCCTTAGACTGGAAGTCATTCCAAATCGGCTTCCAAACACAAACAAATTAAATTGTTAAAATGCTCACATTTTAAGTCAATGGTCTTAAGAAATTTGGGGTCTCAATGACCTGTCAAAATAATCTTTGCTTGATGAAATCAGGGACGAGAATCAACAACTTTATTGCACCATTCTGGTGACAATCTTTATTTGCAAAACAAAGGAAGCAAATTATATTTAAAATTCTGTACAGCTGTACAGTCGAGCTATCTATTTTTGTTGCTATATCTTTACTTTGTAAAATGGCATGAAATAAAGGACTAAAGGAAATGATGAGAGCATTTGCTGGGAATGAGCAATAGTCTGTTTAAGTGAAAAACAGGATACCTAGAAAATAGTGTGGTGGGGAAGAGTTTCAATTGAGAACAAGAAAAGAAAGAAATCAAAGCAAAGCCTAACAAAAACAAGATGTTACTTCTGTGCAGATATCCAAAATGAGCCAATGTAAAACAGTGGAAAGACTCCTATATACAACCAAAGTGGCATGAGAGGTAAGGCAGGTGGTAAAATTTCACGTTCAAGAGGCAACATTTCAACTACAAAAAGCTGCTTTGGTACAGAATTTGTTTCTGCAAATAGAGGAGCAGGTTGCAGCTTACCTGCTTGATCTCCCCCAAGAGATCTCCATCCACACTGTACCTCTCTTCTGATTTCACACCTCCAACATGATTTTGCATTCTTATCTGGGACATCAATTCATTCAGACGACCCTGCTCACAAACATAACCATAATTGTAATACGCTGACTTTTCAATGACCAATTACAAATTTACATTTATTTAGTGCCTTTCACATTGGGAGAATGTCCCAAAGATATGTTTTGGTTTCACAGTACTTTAAGACATAAACTTCTGTTTCTTCTTACAATTCATGGAGAGTGCATTCTGTACCTTAAACTGGGTTGGTGCATTCAATTCACACTGTATGGTATCTAACTGCACTCGAAGCTGCTCCTCATCAGCCTGAATGGCGTAGCCAGCCTTCCTCTGGATCTCCTGCTTTATTAAGACCTGGAGAGAGGAAACGTTTTGCTTTGAAATTCTCCAAATATAAATTTATATAGATTCATCCAAATTCTAAGAGAATAAATACTTTACAAAATTAAGATGAACATAATCTTTAAAAGTGTAAATCTCTGTGTGTGTCTGTTCCTCGCTTTTACACACATCCACCACATGCATTAAATTACCTGCAAGACCCTGTGAGACAAATCCATCAGTTTTCTCTTGTACTGAGCTATTTTTGCCACTGTTGTGGCTTGATTCTTCTGTAGTTCATTGACATCCTCAGATATAATCTGGAGAAAAAACAAAGACACCCCAGTTGAGTGCTTTCTGAGGTTTTACAGATATTCCAAGAAAACCACGCCAAATTGCCAGTCTACATTGTTCTCCCGACGTGAAAGGTGGTTTACAAATGTAATTTTGTTGTCAGTCTAAAACGACAATGCCACACAAGGTTTTGGGTTCCAGCCCCACGTAAGGTCCTTGAACTCATAGTCTAACCCGACTTTCCAATACAATGCTGGGTGAAGGAGGGTCAGGAGTGTTGCGTTATCATAGGTACCATCCTTCGGATAAGATGTTATACTGAGGTCCTACCTGCCTATTCAGGTGGATGTTAAAGGTCCTATGGCATTATTTGAAAAGGGAAGAGAAAAGGGACGTGTCCTGGCCATAATAAAAAGGGATGTGTCCTGGCCATAATAAAATTAATACGATCTTGTGAGGTGCTATAGAAAATGATAGAATCATTATTATTTTATTACTATAAAATCAAAACAATTAATTTCATGTAATAATCTGTGCAGTACTGAAAAAGTCCTGAGTGGAGGAATAGCGGAGTGTCAGAGTAATGCTGTACAATTCGAGCACTTTTCAAAAGAATCACAAACATCTGACTTGATGGGAAAGGCGTTATTCAAGTGTAAATTGATTTGCTGACTAAAGATTTACAAGTGATTGTTAATCCAGGGTTTAACTCACGTCCAGTCTGCTCTGGTGCTGTTTCGTCATCTGCTCCTGAAACTTGAGCCTCCGCAGTAATTCCTTAAAACCAACCATCGGCACTGGTATCAATCTTAGAGAGAAGGGAGTGACAACTAGCAATTAAACAAGTCGGTCATTTATAATAATCCTTTCGAAATTGGCTTTGTGCTTATTCTAAAATGGCTAAATGAAGAACTTTTTCTATAATTTTCTACACAGCATAAAAATATCTGAACCACAATATTCCTCATAGACCACTTACCTCTCTTGAAAAGAGAGGACTGAGAAGGGTTGATATAGGTGTTTAAAATTGTACTGTTTTGGGGAGGGGTGGGGGAAAGCATGAGGAGAGAAAAGACCTCTATATGGGGGGAGGCAAGAGAATGAGAAGAGCTGGCACTGGGTGTGGGGTAGAAAAGAACTAGCACTGTGAGGGAGAGAGAGAGAGGAGGGAGAGAGAAAGGAGCTGGTATTATGAGTGTAGAGAAGGACTCGCATCTGTATAAAAACATGTCAATTTAAATATTCCCGTTATAGTGCGATAATTGGGGTCCATAAAATCCCAACCAGAACTATAACAGGATATAATCAGCCGTCAGCAATTCTGCATTCGCCTTTGAGCCTGGACATGCACATCCAGGCTTTGATAAAAGAGAGCATCACAGCCAAACCTAGTCCACTCGCAACATCCATATGCTCCCAGTGCTATAAACAGCCTGAAGGTAAATGCCCATTTGAATAATAATCCTTGCATTCAATATAGCGCTTTTCATGTCTTCGAGGAAAGACTCCATCCACACTTCAACCCCAGATAGTGTGCAGGAAGCCAAAATGGCTGACTTCTTGGGCACCAGGTCACTGAGGACATCACTACTTGCATGCTGTACATCTGCAGCGATTTGATAACCCAATGATGTCAATCAGGTTGACATTTTGAAATGCCGAGTGTGCCAATTTTGGATTTGTGATTAAGTAAACGTTAGGGTTCACATAGGCGATTAGTTGTGTTGTAACAAAGCAAGTCATAATAGGGTTATATTTCTTGGGGGGAAGGAGGAGGAAAGAAGCAAAAAAGGGAACAATATGTAGAAACCTACTTTTCAGGATCAGGGTTATCAACTTTAGCTTGTTCCCAAATTATTGGATCGACACCTGTAACAGAAAAATAAATGAGTTACAAAAAGCTTTGGCACTGCAATTTCTTAGTTCGAAAACACTTAATGAGTAAAATCAAATAGATTTTTGTGACAAGTTACTTGTACCAATATACTTGGGCTGCGTGTGTGGCAGGTCCCCTCTCTCCCCGGCTCAGCGTCAAACTCTGCCATTTTTAAGAACCCCAAGACTCTACCTTGTGTGAAGTAGAGCATATTAATGGAACTTGCTGCTATTATTGTTATTGTGGCTCAAGGTCTCTTTTAGACTGACTCTCCATCACCTGGATCAGGTCCTCAGCAGACTGATATTGACCACACAGTAATACAGTGATATTCCATTTCCTTTGTTATTCTCCAGGAAAGAACAACAAAATGTTATAAAGAACCCAATTTGTCCCCATTTCCATACAGCAAATGAAAAACCCCAATAGAGAATAGATTTTAAATTATAAGAATCTCTCCCTCTTCTTCCACACACATTCCTGCCATAAACATCTAGCCTTCACTTGGCAGTTACCTTGCTGAGGGAGGGGCCAAGGGGGTAGGGAGGGGAGAGGTGACCAAAAGCATTGTCAAAGAGGAACGTTTTGAGATGTGCCTTGAACGAGGGAGCGAGTAAGAAAGATGGAGCATCCCCTAAAGTGTTCTTTGGTTGTGTGTTTGGCTCTTGAAAAAGAAATAAATGAATCAATGTGGTGACCTGATAAAAGCTCTGATGATGTATAAAATGATTTTGGCAATGTAAATAATGATACTAATCCGTACATGTCATATAGCCCTTTATCATGTTGGAAGGACGTCTCAAAGTGCTTCACAGGATTTACTGTGAAATGGAGTGACTGTGTATTTGTAGGCAAATGCAGCAGCACAAATGTGCACAGCAATGTCCTACAAACAGCCATGAAACAAATGACCGATTTTATTTTGGGGGATTCTTGGCCAGGATACTGGGAGAAACTCCCTCCCTTTTCAATAGTGCCAATGTAAAGATCAAGGACATCACTGAACTCCTCATACCCAGCTACATTTGGATTGTTTCCAATACTCAGTGTTGTTGTATGTTGGCTGTTGCCAGCAGGAGCACCTACCAGCAGGCGGGTTCTGAAGCAGCTGCTTTATCTGAGCTGGGGAGAGTTCAGTCCTGGGGAGTGTGACCAACACTCCTAACTGCATCAACTGGTTCTTCACGTTGGCCTGTTCCAGGAGGCTGTAGAGGTTTGTTGCTGGAACACGCCTCGAGTTTCCATTTGGAAAACGTTCAATGATGTAAATCACCATCTCCGTTCTGAAATCAACAGTAATTGTATATAACGTAAATCCACGCATTCGGTTCTGGCTCTCCTCTCAGATAAGGGTTTAAAAGTGCATCGCTGAATACCAAAGCATTTCACCCGATCTCTAGCCTTTGCTGTTGCTGACCTGGGAGGGATCAACGTTAAAGAAGCAAAAAGAGTCTTGTATCTCAACAATGATTTCCATTAACAACCGCAAACATTTGTGTTAAAGAGATGTCTGGCCCCCAAGATACTCACTGATCGTCTGGCAGGGCTCGCACTCCCTCAACATTCACCATGATCTGTTGCAACCCTCCCAGGATTTTGTGCAGAGACTCCACCAGCTGTTGCTGCTGATTGCGGATGTCTGTTTCCTTTTTGGCAAAAGCCAAAGCGACCAGACCATCCTCATCCTTATTACTGGGAATGCAGCTGAAACCTACAGTCTATGGCAAGAGAGCGAGAGAGATAGAGAGAGAAAGAGGGGATTAGCATGTAAAGCAAAATTCAATTATTTATTGTTGATAGCTCCTCGTTCTTTGAATAAAGTTTCATCTCCACACTTAAAATTCCCTTGTACAATCTATCTTCAGGCAATCTTCCACTCAGCCCTGTTTACCCAGAGCCCTTTTCTGTCTACCTCCTCGATCTACATTGGCAGAGGGAACACGTGGACTCTGCAGCTGAGATGAAACTTTCCAGTCTGATTTGGATGCACATAATAATAATCAGCTAATGGTAATCAACAATAACCACAACGTTAAACAAATTTAAACAACTACTTGCATTTATATAGTGTCCTTCACATGGGTTTGCGTCTCGGAATACCCTGATGCTGAGCCAGAGAATCTTAATAATAGCTTCATAATAAATAATAATCCTTGCATTTGATATAGCACCTTATCAAGTTGTTGAGAAATCTTAATTCACCTCACAGAATATATACAGACAGGTTTATATGTGAATGATGAACTTGATCCTGAATTGAGGAGCACCTCTCACTGTTAGCAATTTACCAGTCTTGCTCATTTGTTCAACTTCAACACACCAGCATGCAGAAAAATCAACAACATGCATTATGTATTTTTAAGTATCTTAGCGTCTTTCTTATGAAAAAAAACTTGCAGACAGTGTGCTTTGCTATGAATACAAAACTTGATTTCTTTCACTAACCTTAAATCTACAGAAAGGATTTTCTTGAGTGAACTCAACAGGAGCCAAGTTATTGTGAAAGTAGCCTTTTCCAGTACCCCAGAAAGCCTGAAGCTGGTTCCACTTGGCTAAGATAGCATCCCGCTCATCACCCAGTAGAGTAGGTGCAGAGAGGGCACTCGCTGTGTTTATCAACTGATTTGACTGAGTTTGAGGCTGCGCCACCTGTCCAAAGAGACCAGCTGCTGTAAAATATAAGTCACAACCTTAGATTAATTATAATTGTTTGTGTGCAAGGACCTTTCAGTTGCCTCTAATAAAGATGAATGCAGAGAATTCAGTTTAACATATTACTGAGAAATTCTGCTCATCGCAAAGCCTGTGCTAAATAGCAAACATCAGCACTCAACCAACCAGCGGCTTCCAATAAAAATACAGAATTTAATGCAAATCTATCACAATGCCCCCTGTTTATAGCGTGGCCTCGCTATAAAAGTGCTGGTCACCTTCTGCTGCTGAAAAATGGCTGACCTCCAGGGTGCACAGGAAGCCTTCTGATATCACCTCACAAAGAAAGTGACATCAGCAGTGCTTCTTGCACATTACACTCTTGCACAGAAAGTGGAAATAGCAGGACTTTTTGTGCGTGGCATGAAGTGAGTGGAAGCCTAACAAATTGGTTGTCGGCTATTTAACTCTCTTCTGAGATATTGGATACAGAGTTCCACATTATAAGAGGCTGCCTTGACCTGAGCAGAGTTTACAATAACAGCACTGCTGAATGTAGCCTCAGGTCAATGGTACAGATGCAAACTAAACAAGACGTCAACTAATCAAAACTATCTAATTCCACTTTAAAATACTTTCAAAGGTAAAGGGCTAAACTTGTAATCCAAGCAGATTAATTACTGGGCAGAAAAGGTTTATGATTCCTGTAAATTTTAAGTTGACACCTTAAATGGCTCAGTTACGCAGAGTCCTGCTTTTCTCTGAACTTACTTTGCTGCTGTTGCTGCTGAGTGCCAAAGCCACCAAATCCTCCAAATGTAGAACTAGTCCCAAGACCTGTCCCAAGAGCAGTGGCAGCATTTGCACCAAATCCACCACCAAATCCGAAACCTTTATTCTGTGCACTCTGGAAAAGTCCTAAAAAAACAAATATAAAATCGTAGAATGATAAGATCCAGAAACATGTCACAGATTCACTGACATTCTTTGTGTTAGCAAACTGTTACCACACTGCTGTGAAGTACAAAGCCAGATATGAAATCTTCACATTTGTAGACGTTTTCTTTATCAGTGTACTTGTAAATACCATTTCCTCAACACAAAATTGAGAACAGTCTTATGGAGCAGTGACTAGAAGATATCAGACAAGATAGTTAACAAACAAGCAAAAGGGGAGGTTAGGAGATTTTTTTTTCAAGCAGAGTGGTTAGTATATGGAATGCCCTGCTAGAAGCAGTAGTTGAGGCTGAATCCATATTAGCTTTCAAAAGAGAACTAGATAAATATCTAAAAAGGTAAACTACAGAGGTGTTGTAAATGGGACTGAAAGGATTGCTCTTTAAAGAGCCAGCACAGACATGATGGTCCAAATGGCCTTCCTCTGTATGATCAATTTCTATTGTTCTACGGTTCATCAACACTTTTGCTTAAAGACCAGTAGACCAAGAGCTGCAACACCGCAGCTCATTTTTCCTACCAATTTCTTTTGTATTGAAACAGGAGTATACAGTTCAAAGTCTTACCATCAACATCCTTTAACAATGAAACCTCTATAAAGAATTTTGATTTGTTGAACTTTCCTTTTACCTTGCTTTGATTTTAAAACAGGTGAATGTGATTGTAATACCAGGGGTGAGAAAGATGGAAACAGCTCAGTGTCATACCGTGCAATGCAATTATTGAACCCAACAGTATAAGATACTAGAATTAACACTCTTGGAGGTATAGCCTTTAAAACAGTGTTTCAATGTTTATATCCAGTCAATTGGGTAGGTAACATACCTTTCTTGCACGGTGATTTCTCCTAGAAATTTGTTCCCAAAGGATGAAAACATTCAGCGTTTAAAATAATATGCAATTGTATTGAGATAGAGTACCCTGCCTCTCCTCAAGAGACCATTATTCATGTCTGAACTTTGACAGTGAATGTTAGTAGGCTATTCGATCATGGATGTGGCGACACAGACAAGAATAATTCAGCCCTCACTCAATGTCCACATAGCAAGTACCCTGGACGATTTTGCTCTCTCTAACTCAGCTCAGGACGATCAGCACAAACCAGGATAAGGATGTATCCTATGTAATTATTTATGCCAACAAGGTGAGGTTCCACTGCATCTTTGTAACTCAGAAGTTTGATTAACAAAAGCAAAAATCTTCAGTGGGTTATCTACAGATAGTGTTGTATTTTAGTGAACTAGATGGGAACAAGGACTGAGAAAAAAAGAAATTAGAGTAGCAGACAGTAATAAAGCCGGGTTAGGCTCTGGAGTCTGAAGAAAATCTCAATTACTGTAATCTGAGCAACAATTAGTGCAAATAGAATTTATGTGGGGAAAGGGTTAGGATTCACATTTCTGTGCAAATCCCAGTTACAATAATGGGGTTCAGTATAATGTAGGCGTCTAAGAATCCAGTTCGGATCCATTACCACCATTATAAAATAAAACAGAGGGCTATCCCGCTAATTTAACAACATGCCAGACAGAACCTTCTAGTGCTGCTATTGCCATAAATAAGCCCACTTCTTCAGGAGTCAATAAAAATTGCCATTAGAAATGGTTTTCTAGCTAACAGGGTTACATATTTTATTAAAATTGCAGTAAGCTTCCACCACAGAAGGAGTCAATTGTGCCAGGTTGGAGCTGACTCCCTTACTTGTGCTATTTCCTCTAATTCTATTTCCTTGTTCTTCCCCATTCCTGGAATAATATTAAAACTGAGCTCCGGTGAATCTTGCAAGCTAAAGCTCGAATGGGTTGGGTTGGGTGGGGGTCTAGCTATAGCTGGATAAATAGTGGGATGCTTGCCAGTCAGTATCCTCAATGGTTTTAGCTGGTTAGACTCCAGCAGTATCACAATGACACTTAGTAAGCGGTTGCGTCTATCCAGGGAGAGAGTGCACATCCCGTTCGAGACACAGGGATTATATATGTGGAGCTCTCAGTTAGGTTTGGATACTCTTATGCGTATGTGTCAAACACCTATCTGACCAAAATAAAATGCCAAGTTTTTTTCCTTATGCTAAGTGATTACTATTATTTTTGTACAGATCCGAAAAGCACAAGTCACACTGCAAAAAGAAAAGCAACCTGATTCAACCGGAGTGCTGAAAATTGTATTCTACGAGTATTGTGGGGATGCGAGGCAAGTTCTACTTTATAAGTTTATTTTAAAAAAAATCTAATTTCTCTGTGTTCATTTTAAATCTTACCTGTTGCCCCTGTGTTGGCAGGGGTTGAGAAACTGAACGTAGGAGCAGCTGTTGTAGTAGCACCGAACCCTCCAAAACAACCTACATAGATAGTTTATTCAAAATAGAAAAAAATCAGAGTTCAACAAAGGTTAAATCTAACTTTAGGCGTATCTGTGACCCACCTTTTTTTTATTTTAAAAAACTGTATTATGGTCATTTGTGGCTCGGTGAATTGAGTCTTTCTGATCAATTATTCTAGTTCAATCACACGTATATAGGTTCTGTCTTAGTAAAAGATCTGTGATACTCTTCAAAAAGAGAAGGGAGCTTCGCCCAGTATTCTAGGCAACTGACCTCTAGATAAAATTGGTCATTCACTTCATGGCTGTTTGTGGAATATTGCTGTTCGCAATTTGGCTACTGCAATTTCACCTCCAAAATCCAATCCCTGCACTCTGCGCTAATTCTTGTGAAGCGCTTTGAGAAATCCTCCCAACATGAAAACTCTACATCAACTGCAAGGATGTTTATTTGTATTAATTACTATTAATTTGCTTGGATGATGGTGGGGAAGAGAAGAGGTCTTTATTGAATCATGTGCCTCAATGACAGGCAATAACGTTTCAAATTATACATCAACATGTAAATAATCCTGCATCACAGTGATCCAACATCAACCTCTTCAGCTGCACATCACTATCCCTTTGAAGTATTAGGGTCAATACTGAATGTTACAAGTTCAATCTCTTCCAAAGCATGAACCCACTAATACGTTCTCAGACTAATAACCAGCTTGGAGAATGTACCCCAAACTTCAGGTCATCCTATCACAACCAATCCCAAATCCATTTCTGACTTCATTTTTACTGTTCACATCACCCTGTTAGCATGTTCACTCTTTTTGTGTGTTTGGATATTACTTTCTATTTATTCACATTCACCAATTTACCCAATTCCTAAAATCATTTTGAAAGCTATACGTCTTTGCTATGCACTTCACCTTCTCATGTATGATGAGATAGAGTGTGCAAAATCCGAGAAAAGATTGCACTAGCAAGTTACTGTTCATGAAGTCTTCTTTCTAGTTCTTTTGGTTTTGTCAAGAGATACAGTCTGGAAAACCATCAATGCATAGGGGTTTCAAGCATGGTAGTTTATATCCAGCTGCTTTAAACACTCAGGGTCTCTGATAATGAGCCTAAACCTTTGGGCTTCAGAGGACGGCTTTCGAGAATCCCCAGCTGAACAACATTTGGCTCGTAAAATAGAAGCAAGGCGACAAAAAGTCCTTCCTGCATCGAGCACTATTTTAGAAATAAACGCTAAACAATGTGATGAGTTACCACCGAGGACACAAGACAATTGATACAAGCTCAAGCAGTGTTTTAAGTGCTTAAAGATCAACTCCCATAAATCAAACGGTTGGTGCTGAGTTGCCTAAACTTGCTTCATTACCATGAATAAATCTGGCCAGCAGAGGATTCACATTGCCTGGTGCTTAAAGTTGAGCAAAACAAATTCAGTAAACTCCTGATAACATGACCCTGGCTTAACCTGTCACTACTACATAAGTCAACATTCTGCCAATAATCCGGTCGCATTTTTTAAAAAACGAACAAAGTTGCAGGAAACTACAGCTGACCCCGTTATAACACAATGGTCTGGGTTGATAAACTCACACAACCCACCTTGTGTTATAAGGAAGTGCGCTTAAAAATTGCTGTTGGTCAACATTTCCAACTCATTGTCGATGAACAGAGCACTTCCTGAGGAAGTGACACCAATGGCGCTATGCACATGAAACCAGCCAGTTAGTGCTTCAACTGCACTGCACTGTGCTATAACCTGCATTATAAGGTGACCCACACTAACCACGGTGTATTATAATAGAGTCATTAATCATAGTAACTAGGACTCTTTTGCTCTCTTTTAGCAATAGATTAATGTGGAGCAGATTTTTACATGTGGTTCCTCATAGCATAGGTCTGGGGTTGTTCAAAACAAAAACTAATACCTGTACTGAATTTACATACTATATTGTCTGTTACCCTGAATGACGAGCTGGTAAATGTGATGCTTTAATAACGTTTAATTAATGTTACTGATCCATTTATTGGATCATCCAAGAATGATCATGCATCTATTGTGGAGTCCTGTAGCTTGGTGGTTAGAGCACTCGCCTCAAAAGCAAGAGGACCTGGATTTGATTCCCAGGCAGGGCAAAACGTTAGGCAAGTTTCCTTACTCCACACGTCTGTTACCAGCAGAAAGTAGGGATCCTTCATCAATCAATAAATAATTAATTAAATAAATATGGCATGAAAATAAACAGAATAGGAACAAGAGAAAGATTTGTTTTATAAAGAAAAACACAGAAGTATAGATGAAGAGAAATAAAAACAAAAGCATGGCAAAATAAACTTTGAAAAGTAACAAAAAGGAAATAATCTACTGAAATCCCTGTTATTCTTCAATTTAAAATTTTACTTTAAAAAATGCTGCAACTAAATGCAAGGATTACAGCAACAACAACAATAATTTGCATTTATATAGCGGCTTTCACGCGGGGTAGCGTCCCAGAGTGCTTCAGAGTTACAGAGTCTGACAATGAGCCAGGGGGAGAGGGAGGGGGGGGAGGTGACCGTAAGCACAATCAAAAAGAAAGGTCTTTAGGCAGGATTTAGAGAGAGACGGCCACCGATGATGGAATAGAGGACATAAAGGGTTTCAGCTGCATTGGTTCTGAGGTTCGGATGGAGGTGGGCAATGTGGCAAAGGTGGAAAAAAGCAGTCCTGGTCAGGGAACGGATGTGTGGTAAAAAGCAAAGCTGGGATCGAACCTGACGCCTAAGTCGCGCACGGGTTCAGAGAGTCTGAAGTGTCTGAAGGAGAGCCTGAGGAGGTTGCGGAGTTCAGACCCGCAAGAGAAAAGATGTTGATAGGAGCTAAAGAGTATGTCTTCCGTCTTGTCCACATTCAGCTGCAGGAAATTTATGCTCACCCAGGCCTTGATGTCCGTCAAACAAGCTAACAGGACATTAGCGGACTGGGAGTCACAGCTGGCGGAGTATATTTGGGTGTCATCCGCATACATTGGATGTTGACCCCATGTCTGCAGATGACATCGCTGAGAGGGAGCATGTAGATGAGGAAAGAAAGGGGGCCAAGGATGGAGCCTTGGGGTAGCCCGCAAGTGACCAGGCAGGGGCGAAAGGAAAAACCATTGGCCGAGATGAAGTGGAGGTTGGTTAAGTAGGACTCAAACCATGCGAGTATGGTCCATAAGGTGGATGAGGGAGGAAGCGCTGGAGGAGGATAGCGTGGTCGATTGTGTCAAACGCAGCGGTGCGGTCCAGGAGGAAGAGGAGGTAGAGGGAGCCCTGGTCAGAGAGAAGACGTCATTTGTTACTTTGATGAGCGCGGTCTCTGTGCCGGGCTGGGGGGGAAACTGGACTGGAGGGGTTCGAGTATGGAATGAAGGGCGAGTTGTGAGCGAAATTGGTTTGCAGCAATGGTTTCCAGGGCTTTGGCCAGGAAGGACAGATTTCAAATGTAATAATAATCACTATTACAACAACAACATCTTGCATTTAAATAACCTCCTTTATACGGGGAGCCGTCTCGGAGCACTTAACGGTGGCCAAGCTTGAAGGTGAGCATAAGAGAGGGGGCAGGTGACCCCTACTCTCCCTCTTTGCATGGTCAAAGAGGAAAGTCTTTGGGTGAGATCTAAAGATAAGGAAGGAGGAAGTAAGGCAGAGGGATTAAGAAAGAGAATTACATAGTTTTCGGGTGCAGGAACATTATTAAGGGGCATAACAGTACCTTACAGTGTTATTTCTGGTAAAAAAAACTATTTGTCAAAATAAGACAGTTTAAAAATATTTAAAATCATGGTATTTGGTCACAATTCAAACAAAAAAACCAAAGCTCACGTCCACCGATTGCACTGTATTAGACAAAACACTTGGGGAGAAGGGAGAAAGCAAGGATTGTAAACAACATGCAATTACACCACTAAAAGGCAACACAGTTTGCATCTATATATAGACTAAACTGAAGCTGGAAATTTCTGCTTAGCATAGTGATTCAGGAAGTTACAGTACCCGTTGTTGCACCAAAAGGAAATCCAGTTGTTTGTCCACTTGCGGTAGCAGCAGTGGTTCCAAATGCACCAAACCCTGGAAGAAAACACAACACATGGGTGCATGTTATTACTGGCCACACTCAACATTTTGCTGTTGGATTTTGACAGATTTTTTTTTGTTTCAAAAGTTACTGTGTCCTTTTTTGGGGAATATTCTCCCCACTGAATATCACATATTTAATATAAATACCCCTTCCCTCCAGCCCCCTCTGACCCCAACCCGCAGCTTGGGTGCAAACCGTTCCTCATTGTTCAGCCTAGGGATGTCCTCCCGACATGAACGGTGCAATATAAATGCAATTTGTTGTTGTTGAAGGTTTATAAAGGTTATGGCTCAAGGAGTCAATCAATGGCAAATTAGACAGTTGGATTGGAAACTGCCTTAGCAATTGGAAGTAGAAATGATGAGCAGCATTGAAAGATTTCAATAGAGGTCAAGAATTGTTGCTGATTAGACTAAAGTACCGAGCTAGGTGAAACCAGCTTACACCATGTAGCTTGCCATGGAAAACACTGTCTGGCAAGCTTTCCCGCTGCTTGTCCGGATAGGGCCACCCTAACCATTAAAGCTTTGGCCAGCGAAAGAGCTGAGTGTGAAGAGTCACTGCCCTCAGTGACTACTCTGTCTTTCCAAGACCTGCCAATGTGCCAGGTTTTCCTGTGCTGTCATCAACAGTGCCCTGGAACTGTGGACATAGCTGGTTCAGGAACTGGCATACCGAGAAATCTGCAGAGAGTTGGCTCAGTTCTGACACTCCGTTGCCAAACATGTCATCTTGGAGCCAATTCAGCTCCAAGGAAAACCCACTCACCTCCCCACCCCCCCACGGAGGATAGTCACTAGTTGGTCAAATCCACTGTTTGGCTTGAAAATTGCTGCTTGAAGCAAAACATTCTCAGAAGGTAAGAGAGTTTATTTATTCCCCACCAAATGCCGTGTACCTGAACTTCAAAAATGTAAGCTATTCAACGTTTGAACATTCAACTGGTATTCTTTAAAGAGGTTTCTAATTTGACCTATAAACAAACAAGACCATTACGTAATCTTTCTAATCAAAACACAGGATGATAAACTGTTTGGCTTTTTCCAAAGAATACATTTAACTTTCCAAAAACAGGGAAGTAAAAGAATAGCAGTAATCATTTGCAATGCTCTCTCTTGGCAACAGGACCTATTTGTTACTTGGGTTCAAATTATTTGTTCTGAACTCAATCAAAACAAGACTGAACATCACTACATGTTAAAATAGGCACAATCACCTCAATATAGCAGATACCAGCAGAAATCCTCACACAGTAACAATTTCAGACCATAGACTGACTGTAGGTGCCTTTAGCCCAGGGTTCAGGGTCTGCTGAGGGTTGGGTGCTGTTGAGAAATATCCGCGGGCTGCATAAGCAATATTTTTGTGTTTCCCTTCCACAAACATAATCAGTAAGAAAATCATATTGAAAAACTACGTTTTAAATTGTGTAACTGGAGTACTTAATTTCACAATGTTTTAGCTACAATGCAAACTTTAAATAAGCAATGTAAAAATTCATACAAATTTTAAAACAATATAGTTTTATTAATAAAGTAAGCATACCCAAGAATAATCATTAAATTAGTGCATGCGCTCTGACCACGCCTGAAATAGACTAGCAAATTTTTGCTCCCTGTAGCATAGATTATGGAGTTTTCCTATAGACAAGCCTAAAATCCTGTAATCTTTGGAGAAAACCATAGACTGCAGTGTTCAGCGGGCCAGATGAAATCATCCCCCAGGCTGGATGAAGACTATCCCAATTTAGTCTATCCATCCAAAGTCCCAAAAGATTCCTCCGACAAATTTATCTTGCCACCTAATAACCATATATCGTTTAAATTTCTGGGAACTTGACTAATGCTGAATGCTGAAAATACCATGGATAGATTTTGCACGTAACAGTGAGATCAACCCTGGACTGCAATCTTGCCAAAAAGTCAAACTAAATTATCACGTAAGAACAATATTCACAAAAAGTGTATTGGCAACAGAGACTGGGGCCAACTGAGATATTGGAGGGCACCGAATAAGAAAGAATAAACCTACATTATTACAGCATCTTATTACGTTGAAGTATCTTAGAGTGCGTTCCAAGCAAATCTTGTCAAGTGTATGGACTATTATTGTACTCAAATGCAGTAGTCATAGTTCCAGCATAGTTCCACAAACAGCCCTGAAGTAATGGCCAAGTAATAAATATAGAAGACAGATGGCAATCACTGGAATCACAGGAATGTTGGCGGCGGCGACAATAAAATTACATTTGAATAGCGCCTTTCATGTCGGGAGGACGTCCCAAGGCGCTAGATAGTCAGTATTTTGGACCCGAGCTGGGGGTAGGGATCGGGGAGGGCGGGTGGGGGGGAGGGGAAGGAGACTGATCGAAGATACGGTTGAAGAGGAGGGTCTTGAGATGGGTCTTGAAGGACTCAAGGGAAGGGGCGAGGCAGAGGGACTGCGGGATGAAGTTCCAGAGGGTGGAGGCAGAGTGGCAGAAAACCCGCCCGCCAATGGTGGGGTGGGCGAGGCGGGAGACGTGAAGCAGGCCGGAGCCTGCTGAGTGGGCGGAGCGGGCAGGTTGGTAGGGGGTTAGGAGGTCGTACAGGTAGGGGGAAGCAAGGCTATGGAGGGCTTTGAAGGTGAGGACCAGGATCTTGAACTGTATCCTCTGTGTGATGGGAAGCCAGTGGAGTCAGGCGAATGGTGATGCTGTCGGTGCCTGAGGTGAGGAGGCACTGACGGTCTTGTTGACGTTCAACTGAAGAAAGTTAGCTCTCACCCAGGTTTGGTGTCTCACAGACGTTCTGTCAGGACAGCAGTGGCCTGGAGCCAAGGGTGGAGGCAGAGAGATACAATTGGGTGTCATCCACATACACGTGGAAGTTGACCCCATGTCTGCGGATGATGTCACCAAAAGGGAGCATATAGATATTGAAGAGGAGGGGACCAAGGACAGAGCCCTGAGTAACTTTGTAAGAGATGGTGCGGGGGCTAGAGGAGAAATCGTTTATGGAGATGAAGTGGAGACAGTGTGAGAGTAGGATCTGAACCATTCAAAGACAGAACCATGACACCAGGAGAAATGTCCCAATCATTTTCAATTAGTATCACAGGAATGTTTGAATCGATATGAATAATCAGTTAGGCACTCAGCTTATCAGTTCATTCAAAAGACGACATCTTCAATGATGAATGCAACTGAATTGATCTCTGACAAATGAAGTTCCGACAAGTTATTTGCAACATGCTGCACAAGAGAAATAAAATACAAGTATATGTACATCATGGAATGATTTAACTTGCCAAAGGGGAAGATGAAAGTGTGATGGTTGACCCATCATTCTATGTTCAAACTGTGTTAGGCAGCTAACAAATTGAGCAATCAGGATATTCGTCTACCTTATAATAATAATAATCCTTGCATTTGATATAGTGCTTTTCACATCTTCTAGACATCTCAAAGCGTTTCACAGAAGTGAATTGACCGTATTTGTGAGTGAAATGCGGTAGCCAATTGCGCACAGCAGTTTCCACAAACAGTCGTGGATTGAAAATGACCAATTTATCATTGTTTTGTTTTGGAGGGATTATTATTAGGCGTATGGAGTAAGGAAACTTGCCCAAGGTTTCGCCCTCTGCCTGGAATTGAACCCAGGTGTCTCGCTTGCAAGGCGAGTGCTCTAACCACTGAGCTACAGGACCTTGTCAAATCGATTGAGTTCACTGTTAACCTGTATAGTGGTCTGGTCAGAGCGACCTTGTGTATAATTCCGGTTGCCATGACATACGGATCCGAGAAGAGCAACTTGGCTGATCCCCCTTGTTAAGAGGGATGAGTTGTGAGAGTCTGAGCAAATAAGGTAGGGCTCTTTAAGCGTTGAAAAGAGAACGCTCAGATGAAACGTTGTAGAGGTAAGACGCCAAATAGGTTTCAGAAAGCAAATCCCAACATGGGGCTTGAACCCACAAATGCTTCCACTGTGCCAGACTGACACTCATTTTTATTATTGTTGTGGAAAGTAGATGCACCATTTAGTCACATTTCAGAGATGAAGAAACAGAAAAACTTAGTAAAATGATAGGCAGAAAATCTGTCATAGGATGATCCTGCAATGCACTCACTCCCTGAAATAATGTTTGTGTGTTAGTGAATTACCCCTGTCTGACAAAGGCTTAGATATCAAGATGAGAAAGTAAAGCACTGTTTATACTGTATGGCTGGTAACAAATCAGCTATTTGCTGACCTCTGCTGACTTTTCCTTCCCTTATCTCCTCTCTCAACCTCTCCCTCCACATCCACACCACCACCCACGTCCGCAGTCACCCCCTCGACCTGGTGATCACTCGGGGTCTTACTGCCTCACCTCACCATCATCGACAAACCGATCTCGGACCATCACTTCATCTCCCTTAACTCCTCGCTCTCCCCACCGCCACCCAACCCACCTCCATCTCCTACCACCCCTGGAAAAAAATCTCCCCCCTCCCTCTCGGCTGCCTTGGAGTCATCTGAACTCCTTCTCCTCTGGGCTTCCTCCCACAATGACTATCCTCCTCGGTCACTCTTCTCCACAGCTCCCTCTCCACCACTCTCGATTCCCTTGCTCCCCTCTCTTGCCGAACCGTATCCTATTCACGTACGTCACCATGGTACACCAGCCACCTCCGCTCTCTTAAAGCAAACGTGCGTGCCGCTGAGCGCACCTGGCTTAAATCAAACTTAGTGGTCCATCAGCAGATCTGTCTGGACCATATTAAATCCTACCGCTCGGCCCTCACCCCACTAAATCATCGTTCTACTCCAAGACAATCTTGGAGGCTAAGGACAACCCCAGGCTCCACGTCTCCATCACCAACCGGCTCCTCCACCCACCCTCTCACGCCTCACCCATTCTCACCACAAATGCCAACTGCGAGGTGATGCTGGACTTCCTCGAATCCAAAGTCAAAGGATCCACTCAGTTGCCTCTGCCATTCCATCTGCTAGCCCCTCCCCATCCCCCCTCCCACCCCAGCCCATACCCATCCCTCCTTCCACACCTTCAAACCTGTCTGCCCCTCCTCTCTCATCAACACTATAACCCACATGAAACCGACACATGTTCCCTCAACCCCATCCCTACCCCTCTCCTTACCTCCCACCTCCACCTCCTTGTCCCTCTACTCACAGACATCATAAACCTCTCCCTGTCGAGTGGTACTGTTCCCACCTCATTAAAAACCGCCGTCATCACTGCTATCCTAAAAAGACTCTCCCTGGACCCATCTCTACTCCCAAACTACGCCCCATCTCCAACCTCCCTTTCCTCTCCAAGGTCCTGGAACGAGTTGTTGCTTCTCAGCTTTGCTCCTTCCTCTCTCGCCACTCCCTTCATGAACCCCTCCAATCGGGCTTCCGTGCTGCCCACAGCACAGAAACCGCCCTGGTCAAAGTGACAAATGACATTCTGTCCATCTGCGACCAAGGCTCCCTCTGCCTCCTCGTCCTCTCTTCTACCTTCTGACACTGTCGACCACTCCATCCTCATCCACCGCCTCTCCTCTCACCTCAACCTTCATGGCTCTGTCCTTGACTGGTTCAGATTGTACCTCTCACACTGCCTCCACTTCATCTCTACAAATGGTTTCTCCTCTAGCCCCCGGACTGTCTCGTGCAGTGTTCCTCAGGGCTTTATCCTTGGTCCCCTCCTCTTCAATATCTATATGCTCCCTCTTGCTGATATCATCCGCAGACATGGGGTCAACTTCCACATGTATGTGGATGATACCCAACTCTACCTCTCTGCCTCCACCCTTGAATCCAGGACCACTGGATGTCTGTTGGATATCAAATCCTGGATGAGAGCTAATTTTCTTCAGTTGAATGTCAACAACAACAAAATAACAAGACCGAGGCCCTCCTGATTGGCTCCTGTCAGCGCCTCCATAGCTCAGGTGCTGACAGCATCACCATCCCTGGTTGCACACTCCACCTTACTAAGCCAGTCCGGAACCTTGGCGTCTTGTTTGATCCTCAACTATCCTTTCTACCCCATATCAGCGCCATGACCTGCTCTGCCTTCCTCAACCTCTGCAACATTGCCCAGCTCTGCCACTGTCTCACACAAAAGGCCACTGAAACCCTCATAAATGTTTCCGTTACTTCGAGGCTTGACTATGTAAACTCATTGCTTGTCGGCCTCTCCAACTCCTCCCTCCATAGACTGCAGATCATCCAGGACTCTGCAGCCTGTGTCCTCTCCCGCAGGGCTTCTACCTCTCTGCAAACACCCTCTGGAACTCCATCCCGCAGTCCCTCCACCTCGCCCCCCTCCCTTGCATTCTTCAAAATCCATTTCAAGATTCTCCTCTTCAATCTCCTTGCTTCCCCCTCTGCCCTCCGCACTCCCTGACCCGACCACCAGCTCAGGTCCGAAGCACTGTCTGTCCAGTGCCTTGGGATGTCTGAACGTGAAAGGCGCTGTACAAATGTAATTTTGTTGTTGTTATATTTGCCACCAATTATGCAATATAAAGAGGATCTCAGACAGAATCAAACGGAGGGTGCTCCTGAAATGACCAGGTTGTGGTCGTTTTAGAGATTCATACCCAGGTACAATAGTTATTAATGGAACAGGTGTGATTCACAATTGTCTTAATTGCCTTTCCTTCTTTCAAAGATCCCAAACCACTCGGGAAGTGTGAATGGCTGCAATATTAAAGATCCCGTCTCATGTTTGGCTTTTTTTTTATCATATTGAAGCCAAATACTGTTTTGGTGTTCTGTGCATTTAGCAATGTACATTTGTTTTTTTAGCTCTGAACAAAGATACATGGAGTGGATATTATAACTCAACATCCTATTCCATATTGTTAATCTGCTGGGAGTGAAGACACTGACACCCAGAGACCCCGACAGCCAGAAACACACAGAGACCCCGACACCCCAATCTCTGGGTGTCGGGGTCTCTGGCTGTCGGGGTCTCTGGGTGTCAGTGTCTTCAGGTGTCTCTGGGTGTGGGGGTGTCTCTGGGTGTGGGGGTGTCTCTGGGTGTGGGGGTGTCTCTGGGTGTGGGGGGTCTCTGGGTGTGGGGGGGGTCTCTGGGTGTGGGGGTGTGTGGGGGTGTCTCTGGGTGTGGGGGTGTCTCTGGGTGTGGGGGTGTGCAGGTGTCTCTGGGTGTGGGGGTGTCTCTGGGTGTGGGGGGGTCTCTGGGTGTGGGGGGGTCTCTGGGTGTGGGGCTGTCTCTGGGTGTGGGGCTGTCTCTGGGTGTGGGGCTGTCTCTGGGTGTGGGGCTGTCTCTGGGTGTGGGGGGTCTCTGGGTGTGGGGGGGTCTCTGGGTGTGGGGGGGTCTCTGGGTGTGGGGGGTCTCTGGGTGTGGGGGGTCTCTGGGTGTGGGGGGTCTCTGGGTGTGGGGGGGTCTCTGGGTGTGGGGGTGTCTCTGGGTGTGGGGGTGTCTCTGGGTGTGGGGGTGTCTCTGGGTGTGGGGGGGTCTCTGGGTGTGGGGGGTCTCTGGTGTGGGGGGGTCTCTGGGTGTGGGGTGTCTCTGGGTGTGGGGGTGTGGGGGGGTCTCTGGGTGTGGGGGGGTCTCTGGGTGTGGGGTGTGGGGGGGTCTCTGGGTGTGGGGGGGTCTCTGGGTGTGGGGGTGTCTCTGGGTGTGGGGGTGTCTCTGGGTGTGGGGGTGTCTCTGGGTGTGGGGTGTCTCTGGGTGTGGGGTGTGGAGGTGTCTCTGGGTGTGGGTGTGGGGTGTCTCTGGGTGTGGGGGGTGTCTCTGGTGTGGGGTGTCTCTGGGTGTGGGGGTGTCTCTGGGTGTGTGGGGGTGTCTCTGGGTGTGTGGGGGTGTCTCTGGTGTGTGGGTTGTGGGGTGTCTCTGGGTGTGGGTGTGTAGGTGTGTGGGGGTGTGTGGGTGTCTCTGGGTGTGTGGGTGTGGGGGTGTCTCTGGGGGTGTGGGGGTGTCTCTGGGTGTGGGGTGTGGGGGTGTCTCTGGGTGTGGGGTGTCTCTGGGTGTGGGGGGGTCTCTGGGTGTGGGGTGTCTCTGGGTGTGTGGGGGTGTGGGTGTGGGGGGTCTCTGGGTGTGGGGTGTCTCTGGGTGTGGGGTGTCTCTGGTGTGTGGGGTGGGGGTGGGGTGTCTCTGGGTGTGTGGGTGTGGGGTGTCTCTGGGTGTGTGGGTTGTGGGGTGTCTCTGGGTGTGTGGGTGTGTGGGGGTGTCTCTGGGTGTGTGGGGGTGTGGGGGGTCTCTGGGTGTGTGGGGGTGTGGGGGGGTCTCTGGGTGTGTGGGTGTGTGGGGGTGTCTCTGGGTGTGTGGGGGTGTGGGGGGGTCTCTGGGTGTGTGGGGGTGTGGGGGGGTCTCTGGGTGTGTGGGGGTGTGGGGGTGTCTCTGGGTGTGGGGTGCCTCTGGGTGTGTGGGGGTGTGGGGGGGTTTCTGGGTGTGGGGGTGTCTCTGGGTGTGGGGTGCCTCTGGGTGTGTGGGGGTGTGGGGGTGTCTCTGGGGGTGTGGGTGTGTGGGTGTGTGGGGGTGGGGGGGTGGGGGGGGTCGCTGCGGCCTGTGACGGGGCCTGTGCCTGAGGAGCCACAGACAGGAAGCCGTTGCCGGGGTTTCTGTGGCCGCTTTTACTCAGTGGTGCTGACACCCCCCCCCCTCCTGCCCTGTCCCCCCCTCCTCTCCCCCCCTCCTGCCCTCTCCCCCCCTCCTGCCCTGTCCCCCCTCCTGCCCTGTCCCCCCCCCCCCCTGTTGCCCGGGCCTTACCCGCTCCGGCGCCGCCCAGGCTGAACGCCATGCTGCAGCCGCTCCCTCAGCACATCCCGGTCCGGGTGACACGCCGCTGCCCGCACAAAGGTTCCGGCCGCTGTCAGCGCGCACATGAGTGGTTTAATCTGTGTGTGAGAGTACACACCGTGTACAACAATACACCGTATAAAACAGTCACAAACCACTGCTGCGAACTGTGTCAGTCAGTGCTGCCCCTTCCTTTGTTTTGTGTCCGTGATAATAATAACAACAACAACAATAATCCTTGCATTTGATACAGCGCCTTATCACGTCTTCGAGACGTCTCAAAGCGCTTCACGGAATACGCTGCAAAGTGCACTTTACTGTGTTTTATTTCTTCCTCTACACATCCGCAAGACGTGGTGGCCTGGAGTATTCAGTCACAAAGAGGGAAAACATACAATGTTTACACTGTTGGAAAAACACACAAAGCTGAGCACCAAATGTCATGGGGCATATTGATTTAAGTGCAAAGAAAAATGCTTAAATTGCACTTTATAGCATTGGTCCTCTATCCTCCGGGGGGTGGGGGGAGGCTCTCTCCTTGAAGTTAAACTGGCTCCAAGGTGACATGCTTGGCAGTGGAATGTCACAATCGAGTCGGCTCTCTGAGGAGGTCTCAGTAGTCCGGTTCCCGAACCAGGAGGGTCTGAAGCATTCCACTCCGTTCTTGTTATCCCTGCAAGCCAACGCCCTAACAGGTAGGGTCACCTTAGCTGGACAAGCAGCAATGAAAGCTTGCCAGACAGTCCTTTCAACGGCAAGCTATCTAGCACTACCCGAATCACACTGAGGCGTCCAAGCCTCGGCTCTTGCCAACCTGCGCCTAATACTGTCTGGAATTGGATAAGCAGAATGCGTCCCTCCAGAGAGAGAGTGCGCATTCCATTCCAACAATCTATCTCTGGGATTTCCGTGTGTAGGTGGGATGTATGGAAATCTCCGCTTGGATTCTGATACTCTTAAGCCTGGTGACACGATTCTGCATGTGTCAAACATCCAACTGACCAAAAAAAATTCCAGTACCCTTTTGTTCTGCTATATTTGGGTATTTGTTACCTGGAGATTTCCATAGAGCAGAACAGAACATCAGTAGAACAGACGATCTGTTGAATGGACTCGCAAACGTAGTTCAAAAAGGAACTGGAGAAGAATCTGTTTGAGAACAGAATTGGAGAAAACAGGGTAGGAAGGTGAACTGAACTGAGGTGAACAAGTCCAAACAAAATGATTTTTCTGACCGGGGAAGGGAATGGTATTGTAACCTGTGGAGCAAATGAGGGAAATGAAAGATTCTGTAGCGTTTCTCTAGGAGACAAGAGAGGACAGTAGAGAAGATGCTGAAATAAACTGGGATATTAGGACCAAATATAGTGTTCTTGGAAGCAAAACAAACTGAATTTACTGATACTGAATTATGTGGAAAAGGATGATGTGGGGTTGAATTATGTGGGATATTTTATTGAGAAAAACCTTAAAAATCTGTAAACTAGGTGCTAAGCTGGAGTACTTAGCTTAGTGGTTAGAGCATTGGCCTAACTCACCCGGGCAGGGCAAAACATTGGGCAAGTTTCCTTACTCCAGACACCCCTGTTTACCTAGCAGTAAGTAGGAACCTGGTTGTTAGTCGATTGGCGGATTGCTTTTCTGGGGATAATCATCTCTTAAAAATAATAGTATTAATTTGGTCATACAATCCACGATTTGTGGAACACTGCTGTGTGCAATTGGCTGCCGCATTTCACCCACAAAATATACAGTGAAATGCAGTACACTGTCCACCGCCTTGGGACATCCTCCCGACGTGAAAGGCGCTATACAAATGTAATCTTGTTGTTGTTAACAGTAAATTCTGTGAAGTGCTTTAATACGTGATAAGGCGCTGTATCAAATGCAAGGTTCATATTATTATAAACATAATAAGTGCAGCAATTCATTGAGGGATATAACCTTGCAGACACAACAGGAGGAAGACTTGGTGTGATAAATAATGTCAAGCCAGTGAAAATCATGATTGTCAAAACAAATAGCATGCTAGGACATAGTGCGGTGTCAATGTTCTCTAGAGTGTTATAAAACCACACTTTCAGATCTAGCTGTGTTGACCATGGCTAAAAGGACACCAGGGCATTAAGGAACATAACAGAGAAGGCCAAACGACAAGAGTAGTGCCAGGAATTAGATCATTGAATTACATGAAACTGAAAGAATTCCATTTGCCCCATTTAAGAATGCACCAGGTCCAGCAATCATCATTTGTTGCACATACTGTTCCCAGCCTACCTAGAGAGCAATGAGATTAATTCATGTATTAAAAAATCAGTCTGACACAGTTAGAACCTTGCAAGCAAAACACCTGAGTTCAATTCCAGGCAGGACAAAACCTTGGGCAAGTTTCCTTACTCCACATGCCTAATAATAATCCTTCCAAAAACAAAAACAATAATAAATTGGTCATTTCAATCCACGACTGTTTGAGGGACATTGTTGTGCGCAATTGGCTGCCGCGTATCACTCACAGTATATGGTCAGTTCACTTTACAGCATATTCTGTGAAGCGCTTTGAGAGGTCTAGCGCTTTTCAAGTCTAGAAGACTTGAAAAGTGCTATATCAATTGCAAGGATTATTATTATTTTTATAACATGGTCCCAAGTGGGGTAATACATACTTAATATGCATCAAGTCAGCCGGTCTCAGTTGGTAGCATTCTTGCATCTGAGTCAGAAGGTTGTGCATTTGAGCCCCAAGTCAGGACTTGGAACTCAGACACTCCAAATGAGTGCTGGAGCGGTGGGTGCTCCATTATTCGAGAAGATATTAAATGTCCCATCTGTCTGTTCAAGTGGACGTTGAAGATCCCATGGCACTATTTGCAAAGAGAAGGAAGTTTCTCCCAGTGTCCTGGCCAAAAATCCCCCAATAAAATTGGTCACTCATTTCATGGCAATTTGTGGGGACATTGCTGTGCACAAATTGTCTGCCACGTTCGCCCACAAAACATAGTCACTGCACTTTACAGCATGTTCTGTGAAAATCTTTGAGATGTCCTCAAGACATGAAAAGTACTATACAAAATATAAGGATTATATATTGTCACTCATATTATTTACAACTACTGTAAAATGATAAGTCCTACCCACTTCCTTATATTATTAAAATATTTTTTTTTGTCAGCCGAGTGTCTGCAGAAACCCATCATTATGCTTAAGAGTATTCAAACCAGACTAAGAGTTCCAAGCATGCCCACCTACACATGGGAGTTCCCTCTCTAAACCAGGGACAGGGATGAGGTGACTGTAGGCACTTCGGCACAGTCGGAGACAAGTCCTAGCCTCACCGGAATCCTCTCTCCCTGAGGGGACGTATGACCAAATGCTGGAGAGTATTGGGCACATTTTGGCCAGAGCTAAGATTGTCTCAGAATAGAGACAGATACCAGGAACTTCCTCCGAGCTTCCTGGTTGACAACATAGCTGAGCATGAAATGCATAATAATATCACCCATAATAATATTGGAATCAATAAAAGAATATAAACGTGGCTATTTTCAGTTAACATAGTACAGAGATTTATGAACATTAAAGTGTTTCATTTTAAACAGCTGTGTAATTGAGGTTATATCATTCTGTGTAATAATTCTTGCAATTGGCTCAGCACCTTTCACATTAGGAGAACATCTCAAAGCTTCAGGATATACTGTAAACTTTCTTTTGTAGGAGAATGCAACAGCCAATTTGAGCACAGCAGTGTCCCACAAACAGCCATATGTAATGTGGAAAGAGATAGAAAAATGGATTTACTGGCCAAACATGATTGAATAACAGGAAAATGTGATTAACCACAATGAAAATTGAAAAAACAGGGAACTGGACCAAATTAATCAAAACACAAAATACTGCAGATGCTGAAAATCTGAAAACAAAAACAGAAGTCGCTGGGAACACTCAGCAGGTCAGGCAGCATCTATGGAGAAACGAAAGTGAGTCAACATTTCAGGTCTATGACCCTTCTTCTTGCAAGAAAATGCAAGAAAGTTCAAACACTGTTGCCATACCTGAACTCATACGATTATTATCCAAGAGGAAACACATCTTTTCACCAATGGATTTTTGAACAAATTATTGCACAAGAAACAAAAATAAATTTTAACAGTAACTACATCTTACAGAATTTTGTGGCACAAGAACTCAAGGTTATAAGAATAATTATAACCAATCAGTCAGTCCAAATCTTCCCGTTCTTTTGTTTTGGTTCACAGTCAGAAAGTTAGGAAATGTCCGTCTTTTTTGAATGATTTAATTGAATCATCGTTCATGACACTAGGTGGCAGTGGCAGTCTATTCCATAAATTAGCAATGGTGAATGGCTTAATATATATAATCTATACATATATGATCCAAAACAATACTCATAATAATCCTCTATTTGGGATAAAGCTTTTCTCATTGGGAGGACATCTGAAAGCACTTCACAGGATATACTATAAAGTGCAGTGACTGTACTTTGTTGGTGAAATGTGGCAGCTAAGTTGTGTAAAGCAATGTCCCACAAATAGCCATGATGTGAATGATCAATTTATGTGGGGATTGATGGCCAGGACACCAGGAGAACTCCCTCCTCTTTTTGAACAGTGTCATGGGATCTTTAATCCTCTGGAACAGGCAGACGGGACCTCAGTTTATTGTAGACCCACGCTACACTGGAAATGTGATATATCTAGCTTCTGGCATTGAACAGTCAACTTCCCAGGCTAAACAAGGCTAACCAGTGGCCATTGACATGACATGTTAACAGTGACTACATCTGCAGATCTTTGTGCCACAAGAACTTAAGGGTGTAAAAATGATTATAACCATTCAGCCAGTCCAGCTCTACACATTTTTTTGGTGTCCTGTATAAATCACACAACCCATCCAGCAATACTGTATATATTATTTAGGAACAGCATTTCTGAAACGATTGTCTACAGGTTGAGATTTGGCATACAATCTCCAATAGATGTTTCCCCTGTCTGGTGTAACATATAATCTCTGTGAAGCTCTTTGATAATACTTA